TCTGCAGTAGCACAGCCCATTGCTCCGTTACATGATCAACGTATGATTTACTGCCTTTAGTCTTGTGAATGCATAAATATTGATTGTTGTAATTTGACCTGAATTATAACATGAGTCTAAAATACTATGACAAAATCGAGGTTTGATCTTGATTACTCTATCGTATGCAAAGCGTTATGTAACTGCTACACATCGAACGTTAAGGTCATATTAGTCCTTCTTATACGTCTAGAACAGGCAAAGCGTTATAACCATCTGCTTTGAACGAGCGGAAGCCGTCGTATTTGTTTACCTGCAGCACATAGAGCACGTGTAGCTCATGGAGATTGCATGGAGCCAGCTGCGGGAGGAGGCACGGCGTTTAGCGCAGGAGATTGGTCAGTCAGGGCGCGGGCACCACTCGCTTGCCAACAGCCACGTCATTTGGGACGCAATTCGGGCTCATGGTGTTCCACGCGAGCATCGCGAGTGGGTTTGGCCCATTTTGTTATTCAACCAGGTAAAATTTAGAGTCTGAGGTGGTTCTTAACGTTCTTAACAATCTGTTTAACACGTCAATATTTTACAAACGCAGGGTAGAAAGTTACAGTGGCAAACTGAAGGTAGCATCACCTATAGCCAATTATTGAACGAGATGGACGACGAGTTGCAAGTGAATGTGGACGTAGAGACAAGCAGCTCACTGGACCAAGCTCAGGAGGAGGCGATGGAGCGGTTTCACCATTTAAATCCCTTCCAGGAACGCAAAATCCGGCGCATTCTACTGGCTTACGCCAAGTCGAAAGACACATTCTACTACTGCCACGGAATGATCGAGTCGTGCGTTGTGCTTAGCACATTTTTAGCGGAGGAAGACACCTTCTGGTGCTTTCGGATGCTGCTAGAAATGCTATTGCCCAAGTATTTTGACGAGTCAGTCGTGGACTTTCACACAGATTGTCTTGTGTTGCAAGAGTTGCTGCATATGCACGACTCGGTGCTAAGTAAACATCTTGCTTTATTAGGTGTGTCCATCCAGTTGCTGTGCACGAAGTGGTTTTTTTCGTTCTTCGCCGAATCCATGCCGTTCGACGTTGTCTGTCGCCTGTATGACATCATGTTCGTGGATATTTGCAGTCATCAATTAGGTTCAAAGATTGTTTTTTCGACGTCTTTGGCGGTGTTGTTGTATCTGAGCTCAGCGCTTGTGGAGATTCGGGATGTGAATGTGGTACTCGAGGTTATCAACGAGTTTTGCTGGACGACGTTGAATGAGTACTCAGTGGCTGAATCATTTTTAGATCTTATTAACTTTATACACGACCAACTTGACGACGATGAACTTACAAGGCTGCGCCATAAGCACAAAACACAGCTGGCACAGGAAGAAGAGCAGCGGAAGATGTTACAGCAGAACATTCAGACGAGTAATAGCAGTAGAAAAAAAATTACGGCGGATAAGCAAAGATCAATCGAGCAACATGATTACCCGCGTAAAGGCCGAATTCATAGTATTAAATTGCTTATCCAGTGGAAGAAGCACATGATCGATTACCCTGATGCTTCAAAACAGCAAGCAAAGAAGAGGAGTAGTAACAGGATAAGTAGCATTGGTTCTAGTGAGAGAAGTCGATGTGGCCGCAGTAGCAGGACACATGAATCAGCGCGTTTATCACGCAGCAGTGACGAAGAAACTCGAGGTGAAGAAGATGGAGAAGCAGTGCTTGAGATCGTAACTATCCCGTCAGAAAAAGAAATGATCGCCAGAGCGTGCCAAGGGATTACTAGAATCCATCGTCGGCGGTCACGTACATCATCGATGAGAAATTTTGCGTTGGGAGGAGCCGATGCGCTTTGCTTGGTCTCTTCTTGTAGCTTGTCCTTGTCTAACTCAATTCTCAGCAATACGTCATCAACAGAAGAAGTTGAAGGTTTGATTCAAAATGGCGATCTGTATATAGAAGATGAAGAGACGTTATGGAAATGGCTGCGAATATCAGGAACTTTGGATGTTATTGTTCGCCATTGTATGAGTGGGGTGCCTGATGCATATCGATCGTGGGTCTGGCCATTACTGATAAACCAGCTTGCTGCTCCGTCAGATCTTTCTCGAAACCTTGCGGCGGTAAAAAATGACGATGAAGAATCTCTTTTGGACCGTGAAATTGCTAAATCCATCGAAAACGACATCACGAGGACACGGAATCTGCGAAACGATCAAATAGTTCCAATGCGGCAAGTTCTCACGGCGTTCGCGATTCGCAATCGTCGCGTGGGGTACTGCCAAGGTATGAACGAAATTTTGGTGGTGTTGTTGAAGTACCTGGATGAAGATCAGGCCCTACGAGGGCTCACGCTACTAATCGAAGTGTTACTTCCAGCTTATCACGTCGACTCGATGATAGGACTTCATACTGACTGCGCGGTTATGAACACGTTAATGCGTCAAAACGACCCTGAATTACATGCGCACCTTAACGAGCTAGGGCTGAATATGGAGATTCTTTGCACGAAATGGCTTGTGACTTGTTTTCTCACATCGCTTCCATCATTTTGTGGACTCAAGGTGATCGACATGCTACTGGCACGCTCAAAGGAGAAGGAGCGTGCATCACGCGTGCTACTTGGGGTTGGAATGTCAATATTTTTTACTCTCCGCGGTACTTTGTTGGATGCTAAGGACGCAGGTGAGGTGCTGCTAGCAATCAATGAGTACTTTGCGTGTGAAATGAAAAAGACTACAGTGGAAATGGACAAATTTCTTCACTTCTGTTTTGTTATTACTGACCAACTAGAGCCTGCCACTGTCGAGGAGTTGCGTTTAATTCACAAGGACGAAGTGATGGAGCGATTTGCTGCATTTGAAGCCAAGAAAATTGAAATGCGCCAACAGCTTGAAGAAGCGAAAGCAAAACAGCGAAGTACGGCCAGCGCACCGCCATCACCTTCGAAACCTGAGCGTTTATCTACTTTGTCTGCGTCGAGTATCATGTTTAGCAAGTCCAACGGCCAAAATCGGATGACGGGGTTGTCCTCATATATAAGCAATCCGCTGCGTAGCAGTCACGGCAGCAAGGCAGTCTTAACAGGCACTGGAGATGACAAAGAAAGCCGCAAGCGCTACCAGCGAGTAAACGTCCTGCAAACACATCACTACTTTGGTGAGGAGCTAGAGAAGATGGAAGACCAGTTGGAAGACCTTGCGGAGTTATACTTCCGCGGAAAGATTGATGAAAAGGAACACTCTTGTATTCGTGCACAAATTGTGCGCAAGTGGTGCAAGGGCATGAATTCGCCTCAGTCCGCAATGATTCGTGTACAGTCCGTCAAGCGTAGTTACTGCGTAAGCAATGCCGGACCTGATTTATTAGAGGTTCCAGTGCGAGGCAGCTTCACTGATGAGGCAGACGTGATGCAGCGTGAAAGAAAAGGATCGATATCAATTTACGGACGCATGAAGAAAGCACAGAAGAGTGCGATTGCCATATTTAAGTCTACTTTTGAATGAAAGATGCCGACGAACTAGGCAAAAGGAACGGTAAAGACGTGCGTATAGATAAAGCATTGTCTTTTTAAAGTGTCATGGTTTAATGCGTTGCGTGTAAAAAAACTCAATACCGTTTTACCGAGCGATGCAGTATGCTGCGTCACTAAGGGAAGCCTAGTGCAACGGACAAGTTGCTTTGCTGGTAAGGATAGCACACATACCACCTCCTTTTCAAGCCAATTTCATAGGCAAATTAAAGAAATGGAGGAAAAACCTTTCTGCATATTTATTTGTTCACAATCGCTTCTTCTACTAGATCGTCGTTAACGTTTTACCGTTATGCTAAGAGTGTTGCTGTATCCACGCTTATCTTTATTGCAAGAAAACTGTTGTCGAGGTATGGTCAGACAATCGACCTGAAGCAAATACTTTTGCACAATAATTTCTTCAAAGGATAGATATTTCCTCGATTTTACCAGCGTTTCTCGCGGGCTTGTGATAGTAAGTGGTGTTCAGAGGGCTATAAGGGCACTGTAGTGTCTTACCTGTTCGCAAGGTGGTGTGTTGTGTAAGAAAACAATGCAATGGAACGAGAGTGCATGTGTCACAGCGCAACATCTTGCTTCAACTGCCACTGTCTATCCAAAGGGTGTCGAATGTTCTGGCCAGGAAAACTTGGGCTAACCTCGTCATGTAACTATACTTTGATACATCTAATTGTTGTGTGATACTGTCATACTTTGAAGTACAAACACAATTATCCTAAAACAATTGCCGTGTCACAATTTTGTGCATGTCACTATTCGATGGTACCCCCCTACCATCATTCTTCATTGTAGTCATTCGTTATCACAGCCAACCAAGTTTACTTAGGATGATTTTAAAGACGCATATTTTAGGTGTAATTGGTGGATCCAGCCTCTTTTACTCTAAGAGCGTCTCGTCTGGACTAGTGAAAAAGGTCGTAGAGACTGCATTTGGTAGCGTTGTGTGCCATATTGGCACATGGCTATCACAGGAAGGGATGACACCTGCAATGCAACTCGTGTTTGTACAGCGCCATCACGCAGATCCAGACGGCGAATACCGTCAACCTCGACAGATTAACTTTCGTGCTATTGCACTGGCGCTGAAGGTGCTGCACTGTGAGGCCGTGGTCGGTATCTATTCAGTTGGTTCCATGACTACAAAAATCGCCGTTGGCAATTTCGTCGTGCCCGATGACTTCTTCAACCCATTTGACATCTTGCACGTGTCCATGGACTATGAAGCCCACGTGGTACCAGAGTTCAATGCAAAACTCAGAGCTGTAATTGTACAGGCTTTACAAAATGGAGGCTTTGATCCGTACGATGGTGGTGTCTACGTGCAGACGACAGGTCCGCGCTTTGAGACAAAGTCCGAAGTGCGTTTCTTCGCGCAGTTCGGCGAACTCATCGGTATGACGGGAGCCAACGAATCTGAGCTGCTGAATGAAATGCAGATACCTTTTGCTATGTTCTCCATTGTGGATAATCTGGCCAATGGCATCGGTGATCCGCTCACACTCGAAGCTTTCAAGGCTATGCAAAAAGCCAACGCCGGCCTCATGGAGCGTGCTTTTGTCCACGTGTTGAATGAGTTGACCAGACAGAAGACACTCGCCTCGCTTGCGATCACATCTTGATGACTTGTAATAAAAGCAAGCATAAGAATCGACTGCTTTATCTTTCACAGGTTAAGATGTAGCATATTTGCCAGTCCTCATAGAGTTTACAATTCTTAGATAAGCTATTTTGTAAAAATATGAGTTATTCTCTATCACCTCTACTATCCATATTTTAATCAGCATTTTTTTGAAATGGTCGAGTTAGACGTAAAGTTTATGCGCCTGGCGATTAGAGAGGCGCATCGATCACAGCCGTCCGCAAACGCTTACTGCGTTGGTTGTGTTGTGGTGCGCGACGGCCAAATATTGAGCTCCGGGTTTTCGCGTGAGCTGCCGGGTAACACACACGCAGAGCAAGTAGCATTACAGAAACTCAACTTTGAGGCACAAAAAGCAACTGTATACACCACAATGGAACCGTGCAGCAAAAGAGTGTCCGGGAACGTATCGTGCGTGCAAAGTTGTCTTCGCGCAGGGGTTACTCGCGTGGTCATTGGTGTCATGGAGCCAAAGACATTTGTCGTGTGCGAGGGGGGTTCAATTGCTCAAAAACGCGGGGGTGGACGTCAAGCTACTTGAAGGACTCGAGACGGACTGCCTCGCTCCAAACACACATCTCAAACTGACATACTAATGGGACTGAGCTAGATGTGAAGGATCAATAACAACTCGATACTTCTTATTACGAGTGGCCTTTATTCTCCATCCAATGTACTCAAAATACTGTATATTGTGTTGCTTGCAATTTAATTCTTTCCTATCACATGCACAGAAATATCACTCTTACTCCCGCTTCGACCGCCTTCATTATTGTGTTGGAAACAGCGTCGATTCGGACACTTGTGTGGTAAACCACAACAACACACGTCACAAAGTTCATTCTTTAACAACTGTAAACGAACCCCAGCCATAGCTTCTGCGGCAACCGTGACCCGGCCATCAAGAGCCACGCCAGCACCAACAAGAAACTTTGCTAGTGTTGGTCCATCTAGATCGCAACAGCCAGGAGCTGCCTCAGCCGTCCCTCAGTCTGGTGACGTAGGTATGGCCGGGGCTCCATCGCCGCCAGGTTTCGGAAATAACAACAATGCGCTTGGAGCTGGACTCGGCGCTCCAGGTGCTGCTGGTGGACTTCTTGGAAACACCGGTGGGTTTGGCGGAAATACCATGGGCACCCTCGGTGGTGGCTTCAACGGCGGTGGCAATCAAATGCCTGGTTTCGGTGGTCGTGGCGGTGGTTTTGCTGGTGGGTAATATGTTCGGTGGAGCTGGTGTTGGCATGGGTGGCTTCAACGGGAAGGGTGCAAGTGGATTCGGACAGCAGATGGGGTTCGGTGCACAAGGTGGAAATGGGTTTGTTGGGATCGGAGGACAGGGTGCAAGGGGGAACTTTGGTCAAAGTGGCAACAATGGGTTCATCGGTGGCCAGACTGGATTTGGAGGTGCCGGTACGGCTAGTGGCAATGCGTTTGGTCGTGAAGGCTTTAATCGCCGCGAGCGTCAGCGTCGTCGTTGACGGACAAGAGGTACATCCCAGCTTTGGCTACTGCTTATTTGTTTCGTTGAGCACGTAAGCAGCAAATTGTAATATTGTGTATCTTTCAAATACAACCGACACCAAAGTTGTTGCTGTTGCATTCGTTGTCATGTACTTGACAAAAATTGAGACATGGTAAGATGCATTGATGATACTCAAGTCTATGAGCCAGGCGTACCTTACATGGCTGGCTAATGGACTTAGCATTTAACAAGTTGTCACTTGCTGGCGGAAACAGAAAATACTCTTTTTTTGCGGCATGTAGATCAATATGTGGTATTGGTGGTGTATGGCACCTATGTAGTGTTACGCTCGCTGCAAAAGTCAATGCATAAATGGTGAGTTTTACATAGTAACAGGAAAATTTGATTGCTTTGAGCAATCAACATATCATTCGTTACTAGAAAAGCCCGTTTTCTATATAGCGCTCCATGTCCTTTAGTATCCGTTAATGTTTGTTTGTTGGTTGAGTGGCCACTAGGAGCTCCCAAAAAGATGGGGATCTTTTGGGGTGCACCACCGGCTGATTGCAACGCGTTCCGTCGTAAAGTTTCCAACCAGCATTTTCCTTAGTTACCAAATCACCATTTCACACTTTTCGTATGCCTCTACCTTTTATTTTGAGTATTCAAGTTGCTTGCAATCGAAAAATTTAGTAGGGGCATAAGAGAAAAATGTTCTATGGTAAAGTAGTTAAACTCGTGTAGTTTTTGCAGCATTCATTTGCTCTATGAATGGAGCATGACCGTTCCCATCCAAATTCATGGCTGCCATGTACAAAAATTATCCAAGTATTCATGAAACTGTTAAATGCGCACTGTACGTGACGACGCGCTGGAGCCATTACGAACGCCATTGCCACCCCTGAGTGCCTCAACTCACAAAGGTGTCTAGATACTGGCATTGTTATGTCTCTTACAGTATATCAGACTTTAATTTCTGTCGTAGCTGTCCATGTTGCTTCAATGCAAGCACAATGATTTCGTACGCGCGACCTCTTTTACAGCAGGAAAGTGTGGGCTATTTGGTGAAACACCAAATTGGCACTTTCTTTTACGACTGGAGGATGCAGCATGAAGCTGCAGAGACTTCGTTTTTTTTTTGGTTTTCTTACTGCAGGACTCAAGAGAGAGCGCCGATGATGAGTAGCGAGGTTGGCCAGCAGTAATTTCAAGTTTCGCGTGCTTTTACCTTCGTAGAGGCAACATCTCTGATTAGATTATTTCCATTTTCCAGCGGTGACTTGCGACGAGGTCGTGCGACAACGATTTCAATTCTGGAGCACATCTGCTTTCGCTTTTTCAAGGGTGCCGTGACTACATAGTTAGGCGTATGGAAAACATTCGCAACACCACCGTCAGACTCCGATTCGGTCGTAATGTCACTGATTTTATCTAGATCTTCAGCGATGAATCGATCGGGTGCATCTTCATATTTGCTGCTCGCTCGTGGTCTACTTCGCTTAGAGCACTTCTCGGTCGCAAAATACTTTTCGTCAGCAATCTTTTTTGTATCGCGAGCGTAGCAGGATGACTGCAATATACTGCCCCCTTTAAGGCTGTTACCATTTGTCTGTGTCTTTGGTTTTGAAGTGGACTTTGATACATCCGAATCGGGTACGCCAAGATCATGGCACTTGATGGCAGATGCTGCATCTCGACAGCGCGAGCAGAACCAGTCACCTTCGGGAACGTCTAACAGAGCTGGTCGTACACAGTTGAGGTGACACGCCCGCTCACAGCCATCGCAACACAACAGCTTGCCATCCTTTAAGCAAACTTCGCAATACTCTCGGTTCTGGCCCACAACAGGGTGAAGCTTTTGAAGTCGCTTTGCTTCCCTCTTTCTCTTTTTCTCTCGCTGGCCATCGTGCCATTTTTCATACTCTGGTCTGATCTTCCACAAGTAAAATTTATTTACCAACTCACGGGTTGTTACGTTTCGACCGAGTCTTCGCTGTTGTTCAAGACGATAATTAGTCATGGTTCTCAGCGATTACTGATCTCTGTGCAGTACACACCTTAACGAGATGAAAGTCTTTGCCATGTCTGACCATTGATTTTTCAAAGAGCCCCATATGTATCCGTTCCGACTCATCTCGATTCAGCCTCAATTTCTGCCTACGAGCTTCATGAATAATTTCCACCGCTCGAGACACATCATAATTTGCTTCAAAAAGACATTGAAGTGCCTAGCATGATGATAGTGAAAATGTTGGTACATGAGTTTTCAACACTCGCAATTAATGCTCCTCTACGTACCAACTCCGTTTCTTTTGGCCAAGCGTATGTTCGAACAAATTTAGTAATTTCATTGGGGGTGAGTTTCGGCCGTTGGTCATCCTGCCAGCCCCATCGTTGCCGGTAAGACGACTTGTAGATATGTTTGTTTTGCTGCTGTTGATCGATGGACAATAAAGCTGGGATATCTGCGCGACCATTGGCGTCTGTTGCCATTTTCCAAATGAAAAGATTTTGGTGCTGATTTTTTTTTATCTGTTTCGTTTCTTGTCAGTAACCATGGAATGAAATTTTTTACCCTGATCCTTACAAATAGTTAATCGCAAAATTTGGTTTTTGCGACCTGCTTGCAGCAAATTCTGAGACATAAAAAAAAGAATCGTTATACCCAAACTCATGGCGATAGCTAAAGATAGAAAACACGACAACATTTTTTTTTACAACTGACTATCTCAACTTGAATTGTCGACTTGGGATGGTGGGATACGACGAGGTGCCATTGTTTTACGGTGACGCTTTCGGCCAGAGACTGTCCTTTCCACGTGTACAAAAGCCTTCCCCATTTCTGCTGAATTTGTCTCAACAAAATGCTCCGGTGCGATGTTCGACGTCGCTTGCGATGATCCACAATGTGACGGGATAGTAGGTCCACTCGGTTGATTTGGGATGGACAATCCTGCCGGTTTGTGTTCTTGTTTACCATTCGTGATTCTGTCGTTATGTAAACAACACGACAAAGCGTTGGCACGTGTGGTATCCAATTCAGCGTTTGTGAGGCTTCCACGGAAAACGATGTTCAGAACCACTTTTTCTGTACTGGAAAGGGCCGATGAAGCAGCGTCATGATTGCTAATCTCGTTGTTCAAATTCAAATCGTCGCGTTCCAATGTTCTTTTTGCTCTATCGCCTTTCTCTTGGTTACTGCTAGTTGTCACAAATTGCATTAGTGTGCGTGGCACACCCGCAAAGGGCAAACACATCTTGCAGTACTTATTATCCTGGCTTGGAATCATCTTGGGCTTTGCGCTACCAAAGACCTTTTGACAGAATGGACAAAACCAGTCATCGTCTCCTCGGGGAAGCTCAGGGATCGGGGCTTGGACACAACTAAAGTGGTACGCACGCGTGCAACCGTCGCAACAAAGCAATCGACCGCCAGTGGCGCAAAGTTCGCATCGATTACTGTGAATGCTTCCGAAGGTCTCTGCTTCCGGGCCTACATCCGACTCATTGCCCAAACGTAGTAGCTCAATCTCCTTCTTTTTCTTATGTTTCTTATTAGTCAGACGCCGTAGCCACTTTTTACACTCCGTCGTCCGCTTCCACAAGTAATACTTACTCACGACCTCACGAGTAGTCACACCTTGCCCTAGTGCTCGCTACAACAACGGTTTGAAGTGTCAACGCTTGACGTTTCTTCAGCTTACAAGGAGCAATTCGCCCAAGGACGCACCTTCACGAGGTAAAACTTCTTGCCGTGAGTCTCAATTGCATTTATAAAGGCTTCAGGTTTTACATGCTCGTTCCAATCGCGCTGGGCTTTGTGCCGCTTCTTACGGGCAGCGTGTAGCAGTTGCACAGCCTTGGGCAAATCGAACCCACTGTCAAACAAACACTGCAGTGCCTATGAACGGTGCACAGATGTTAGCTACTTTCGATACTACGCTTCCCCATTGCAACGAAAATACAGTAATCAACGGACTATTTCCGACTCCTTGAGCCACGCAAATTCTGTAAGAAATTCCTCAATGTCTTCTGCGTTTGGAAGTGATATCGCACCCTCAACAGATTGTTTACCCCATCGCTGCCGACATTGCGGTGTATAAACTTGAGCGCTTCGCTCTTCGTGCAACATCATTGGCGGGATCTCGGCTCGACTCGCATCGTCGTTTTTCTCCAACATCGGTTAAGTTTGGTCCAATTGTGTGATAAATTTGTGATTTTGAGCTTTGTTTTGGTTCGTCGTGGCGGAACAGTTTTGATCATGCACTAAAATTGAGAGCTTCACTTTTGCGACTACGAGATCAACGACTCGTACCCCAAACTAAAACTAGTCAGCTTCAAGACGATCATATTAGGGCGAGTATGTTGGAAACTGCTGACAATTAACGTCTGATGCATGTAGGATATTGCAAATACAAGGTGTTGCAAAGGTCATACTGTAGCATACACGACCTAGAGGTATGTGACAGCTATGTGCGGAGGTGCTTTGATATTTGCTTTGGCTTTGTTCAAGTCATTATAAGCGCAGACGCAAAGTGTAGCGTCACACGCCGTCGCGGCGTTTCTTGGCTGGTAAAGCTATCGCGATACGCCATGATTCGTACGCATATCGGTGTCACAGTATAGCTCGTGTTCCCGCATGTTGCAACATCAAAATATGGAGCTGGATAACGAAGAGTATAGAATTAAAAAGGAATACTGATACAAAAGATGTTATTAGAGTAAGATGAGAGAAACGTGTTTTGAGAACATACTTTAAATATTGCTAAACGCTTGCGCACGTTCTCTCTGCCACCTTCAAGCAGTGCAGACTCTGCGTGAACAACCGCATGCTACTGCTCCATCGACTGAGCACGGACGCGTTCTGCGCTAGCAGTACATTTCATTGCTTTGGTCTCCAGTAGCTTTTGCAGACGTTGACGTCACTGCACACTCTGCAGATTGTTGACGTCGTCTGACTTGAAAATGTACTCGTGATATTTTCTGTCATCGTAGCGACTGTGGTGCGATGGGTAATGAAATGCAGCAGCGATCATAGAAACTAAAGAGCTTTATTTTTACTTTTCATTGCAACTGATAACAGAACCTAGTAGGTGCAAGCACTTTAAAATCAAATGACAAATCCTACATTTTTATTTACAGAGTCAGATATGCAATGTTCTGTTAAAATTGATGGTTGGTAATTGCTGGCAAATGAGCAATTAAACCTGCTTTGTTCTCATGTCCTACAAGTCTTTCTCATGTAGCATATTAATTTCTGTTCTGCACGAAACGTTACTTTCCTTATGCGATACCTTCAACATTTGTTAATCTCCCACCACCGTCTGCTAGATACTAACTGTATTCTTGAGTAATTTATACGTCTACATGATGGTTTGGTGGACGTAAGCTCCATTAAAACTGTGTCTCACTCATCACACAAAGTGCCTTGTCCACAAGCGCAACCCTCCTCATTCAACACTGATGGTGCTAAATGTCAACAGTTCTTGCTCGTGCTTCCGGCGCTATTGTAGATCCACGACGATACCACGGAAAGTGAATCAGTAAAGCCGGACCAAATCATGTATAGCCACTGACGGTCTGCATTAGTAACGGACGTTGGTGTGTCCTGCTCGCGATCTCAAGGCACAAGTAAATAGTCCACGTAAAAGCGTTACTTGTTGAGCTGCCGTTCTGAGTAATATTCAAGTTTAGTAGCAAGTCAGTCCTCTTTGGCTACTTTGGCATACGATCTTCAATTGTAAGCTCAGACATGAGTTAATCGACAGCGCTCCTTGCTCCTAAGTGCCGCATATTACGTCATTTAGACGTTCTGTTGCCGAATTACCCAGGGTCATTCCATGTAGCACAAAGGATGGCTTGCTATGATAAAGACCCTGGGTGTCAATATGAGCTGGTAACACTCACGTACATTAAGGTAATGATCTAACTTGGTCAATCGTTTATTATTTTGAGATTGAAAATGGAAGGAATCATCTATTTCTTGTCAGTTGGTCTGTCGGATACACTTGCCGCACGTTGAGATTAATACGCTGGTTGCTAAGATACGTTCGAACTGCCTCGTACTCTTTGCGATCTTGTTCAATGTGACAAAGTGTATCGAAATCCTCACTTGCAATGCTGAATGGAATGGGTAGCACACGGGCTACGCCATGGTAGCACGTCCGAGATGCTCCACCCATAATAGTTATGTCACCGCTTCGTAGCAACAACTCTAGTGGTGTCTCGTCCTTTGTGTGACCGCCCATGAGGAACACACATTGACTGCCAAGCGACACGGACACAACAGGGTGATCCATTGTATACTCGACATCATCCCGATGGCCACCCATTGCCGACTTGTTCTTGTAGTAATTGACGATCACAGCCTCAGCGGCTAACATCATGCCGGAAGCAGCAGCACAACTTGCACCTAGTTCCTGTAGCAATTTTGGCACAGGGGAGAATCTGTCCTTGTAATACTTCCTTGCGGTCCAATCGTAGTGGTAGCCTAAAGCTGCCCAACACAATTTTGAGAGAATAGGAGACTTTGTTGGATTGTGTGGATGTGATTGGCATGCCTTGTGCCAAATGCCTACCACTTGCTCGTTTTGCAGGTGCATATTGGTTACGTGCGGCTCCTCTGCATACTCGGCCCTGCACGCAAAAAACCGTTAGCTACGCTTGCGGCAATGCAAATTCCTTGCTTTACGTACAGACAAACACGAGCAAGTTGCAGCTGTGTTTTGGCGTTTAGAGCGCTGGGTATCACGCAGAAGCCGCGGTGCGGTGTGCCAAAGTTGTCGAAAGCTAACACGGGTCGCTCCTTGTCCTTCGAACCCCATTTCCAGGACCCAATGTGCTGCACTTTTTTCTGCTGCTCCTCACTTAAATTACGCGGATCCAGTACCACCAAGTCGTGCAACGCGTTTTCATGTGTCATACTTTTCCACCGCTTTTCACATGCCTTGTACGCCATCAAGAAAGAGTACGCTTTTAGTATGAGGTCACAGGACGAAATCAAGACCAGTTATTTATTGCAATTTGACTAAATGCTTTTCACTTCCTTATATTCCCGTCAGTATAATCAATATATGAACACAACTTGTTCTCGTTTAAACATCGGCACTTCAATACATAACATACAAGTCTTCACAAATGCATTTTTCGCTTGGCGTCTAGAACGCAACAAGCCCAAGACCGACACGGTGATTATGGTTGGGCTTGAACTGCGGCATTGCAGCTGCATCTTCTGGCAACTAATGAAAGCTGTAGACAGTGACGGACATGATTCTATCGTCAACGTCGGAAGTAAGGACAAGCATTGATATTGAGCCGTCCAACGATGTCGAAGTTGCCTGTAGCAAAGTGGAAGAAAGATTGTCAGTTTGTCGCTGTCAACATCGATACACACAAGTCGAGTTTCTTGAGGAGAGAGTTTTGGCACGTCCTCTTGGATGCTGGCGAATTTGTCGCTACAAGTCTCTTTGTAACTAGAACTTCTACTTTCTCCCTCATCTAGCCTTCATCGCTCCGTCACTGCTCGTATTTCCACTCCTGCTGGCATCTCTGTCCTGCTGCAGTATCTGTTCTTATAATGCAGTATCAACTGCTGCGGGAAATCAATTGCCGCTGAAACTCGCGTAGCTTGCGGCTAAGACGGCAGTTATCTCTGGTCAATAGGTCCATGTCGCTGAAGCTGACAAAACTGGATCGACAGTGCTGATACCGTAAGAACCACATCCTGCAATTGTGCGCAGAATGACCAAATTGCAAAGGTTGTCGAACGCATCACTCTTGCAGCAAAAATATACCAAAAAGCAGTAGGATTAATTCAAGAAAGTGGCTGGCGCACATTGTCATAAACTAAGTTCGCGATCACTACTGCAGACCCTGCTAGAATTGCTAGACATGCTTCTCTCTATTGCACGCACCGCGCATTGCAAACGTTGTCTAGTGTGATGCATTGAAGGCAACGACCCCCGCTAGACTTTTATCTTGAGTAGCACGTCTGGAATGACACAGCTGCCTGTAGTTCCACGCGTTTCCGTCACCTTTGGTCCTTCAGCTGCTCTTCGACAGGAGACTCCAAATCACAAAAGTCGCTGTATATAACAAATCGTGATCTAGGACGTGTTGATATGAGCAAAGAATCAAGCGAAAACGGTGATGAAGAGGCTATTCGCAAGGTGTGAAGGGTACAAATTCCTTGAATTTGAGTCCCACCGAAGTCGTGATAGTACCAGAAAACGAAATAAACGGTCATTTAGCTGCAAATGGGGCTGACCAGCGATGTGCGCCGCACTTCCGTCTCAGTGATAACATTATCTTGGAACATAGAAACATTGACGCACACACATGGAGACATAAGACTCTTGACTGTTTGCTGACCAAAAATTGGTCAGCACTATAGGAGCAGGTAGGTGATGATAGTGGAGACAACGATCAATGCATGTCCAAAGACAATTCCACCTGCGGCTGTCGATGCTTTCACTTTGGTTTTGTCTGAACCCTGCTGCTCTTGCATGCTTTCATCAATGCTACCCGCAGTTTCCTTCGGCCGAGGCAATGGTGGACAAGGCGTCTTGGGCTGTGGCAATGGAGGACAAGGCGTCTTGGGCTGTGGCAATGGAGGACAAGGCGTCTTGGGCTGTGGCAATGGAGGACAAGGAGTCTTAGGCTGCGGCAGTGGAGGACAAGGTCTCTTTCCTGTGGGAGGTATTGACGAATGTGACGAATCTTTGACTGGAGGTTCAGTTTGCGCCGTCGTGCTGCTTTTTGTAGTGGCCTCATCAGTCGGATTGTTCGGCAAAACAGTGACATCTCCACTGTTCTCAAACCCCTCCGTTTCATTGCTCGTCGGAATGGTTGGTTCCGGCGTAGCCGAGGCGTCAATTAAGGTGTCCGTCGTATGTTTCACAGTCTCATCGGTAGCGCCCGTCGCGGCTGGAGCTGGTTCCGCAATTGTCAAAAGAATCTCTTGTGCCGTTAACACCAACATGATCCCCCGTTGGTGTTAACGGCACAAGAGATTCTTCCACTGCTGGCACAGATGCTTCGTCTGTCTGTTGAACCGAGTTATTGACTGGAGCTGGAATTGCAGCCACTTCGCTTCCTGCCTTGGCCAATTCCTTGCTCTCTACCAAAACATTAGCTGGCCCGACTTTTTCAGAATTGCTGTCACCGGCGACTTTGGATTCCTTAAAAGTGAAAGCACCCGTAGATGAAATAGTCGCCAAGGTTACAATCATTACGAGTTGCAACGTTAACGGAGCGTGCATGGTTCGACAGTTGAATTGTTTCTTGCTCGTCGTCGTGATATGTGAAGAAAGGCGACTTGGAAACAAGAGGTTGGCAGATTTCTGAGTGTGTGACTGAACTTTAGCAGAGATACTGACTCGCCTGATGGTTTTGGTGCTGAACACGTTAAACCGTATGTACAGATGGAATACTTTTGCTAATCACTTGACGGCTGCGTCGACGATATGACGAGAGACGGACATAGAGCTTCGGGGCCTTGCAACGAAAGGACAAATGGCGAGGTTTTGGTTTGTAGAATGCAGGTCGACACTTGGTGTAGTTTTGCAGCGACATTTGCTCATTATCGTTCATCGAGAAAAGATACGGACATCATGCGACTGTTAACGGGAATTGCATTCGTTCAGAAGTAAAAAAGTCAACAATTGTGCCGAGCCGGTGCACTACGATAACGCACAAGTGAGGTCCTGCCTGTTACGAGAAAAACCCAAGATTGAATAAAATCAAATGATACGTGTGGGAGTTGCTGCAATTACAGGAAGACGAGCACGTGACATTAGCGTGCTCGTGGACCTGTTTAGCTAATGTCCACACGATTTTCTGTCAGCTGAATTGCTGAAAGGCATGAATGGGGGGCAGATCAAAATACTCGCGTATATATCAGCTCGAATGTCAACTCGTATTTCTGACAACGTGTGTTGCAATCTCCTTTGCATATCACATCAACGTGTACCACGGAAAGGTCAATGAAGTGTTGTAAAGCAATGCACGCCGTCCAGCCATTTCCTCCCGTCGCTTTCAAAATATCTGAATCTTGTCGAGAACCGTGAGGGACGAGAAAACCGCGAGATAGAATGCAGACGGACACAATAACGATAAACTACTTTGTAGCTCCAGCAAGTGGACGATTACTTGAGATCAGACTAGCAAAAAGGACAGCTATGAATGCTAGAAGACCATCATCACCTTCTGTCCAAGACGCTGTTCTGACGCTAATATAGAGCCGCACAGTACGTTTCGTCTTTCTAACAACTGTATTCGACTGTAACGTTTCTACTGCACCGAAATTGATTGCGTTCGTCTAAAAGACTGAGGACGCGTGACAGTGTAAATTGAGCTGCACATCCTTCCCAGCATCATGCAAGTAGCCCAACGGTGGTATGGTGACAATAGGTGACCATAAAACCGAATGGACTGACAAAACTAAAGTAGGTGTTTGAAGTAACAAACCCGTAAAAGTCGCATTAGTTTTCGGTTGCAAAAAGTAATAATGCATCTTCATATTGAAGTTAATTATTGACTTGATTTCGGTATTCATAATTTCCCACTACTTTAAATGGTCTCATCCATCCTCACTTCTCAACAAGCACTCCCTTCTCTCGATATGGCAACAATGTCCATAATGGTAAACAGTGATAGCGTTCTAATGGACTCGATCCCACGCTTGCGCTGGTGCTCTAAGACCAATCGTTTTCACTACAACATACCCGTGGCAGCTGAACCAGGTGACAACGGATTCGTGCTGCTACAGGAATTTGAGCACGCGGGCTCGCTCCGATTGCTAAAGCTACCGACTAAGGAACTTCATCACGTGGAACAGATGGAACGTATCAATCATCTTATACATGACGTTGAGAATGCAGTGCATCTACACCAGTCGGTGAAGATGCTAGAGCAGAAGCGTAAACATCACGACGAGTATCATGAACGTGTGGCCAAGGACGATGAAGAGCGGCCACAAATTCTTAAACAATGGGGCGCTTTTTGCCAGCGTCAGCCGCATAAGCGCTCCTTTGAGGGCCAACGACAGAAGCCCACGCGCATGGGCCGTGTTCACCAGCCCAAATAAGCACCAGCTGAAGGAAGACATTTGTGGACAGGTGGTTATTTGTTTGTATGGAGAAAAGAGTGATGTACAAGCCATCACTAAATAATGAAAGACAAGAAACAAACGTCGGGTGTCAAGACTTCTACTAAAAGATGTCTGCGTGAGTAGTTCCATTTGTTCCGTGTACATTTCTGCTTGTAGTGGACGTAAGTTCGTGTTGAATAAGGTCGTCATGTGTACATTGTGATCTGTTGTTGGTAACGAGTAACTTTGTACAAATATAACAGTTCGGCGTAATGTTGAATATGACGGAATTTGGTTTAGGTCCTAAAATGATGAAACGCAGATAGTAGAGAGAATGTCTTAGTTTATGTATGAGCATTAGTTTATTCGCACAAGCTCTTGATCAAGAGGCGTTTGTTGCGTTTTGCAATTTAAATCGGCACATGAGCATTTCCAGACTATTTTCAAACAAACAAAACAAACAACGATTGACTTTCTTTGCTATACAAAATTAAAAGCAAAAGTTCAAATATGTGATGCATCGTAATCTCAGACGTCAACATCGATATCGACGCGTGCTTAATAAACATTGGAGGCTTCCGTAGCATTTCTCATTCGGTGACTTTATCGGACTTTGTTTAGTATCTAGAACAGACGCCATCTAAAAATGGTTCAGCCAGAATGTACGAACCACAAATATGGTCATATACCTATGGCACAGAACATGTGTACTGCCAAGTGAGCAGGACCAACAATACATTAGAGTTAGCCAATCGATTATGGTTGTGATATACTCACATGTATATCATGATGCCTGTTCTCTTAGCGGATCGAATGACAGTTCTACCGTTCATTTTAGTGCTGCTATCTCTTCCAGTGCATAAGGTTCAGTTTGCAAGACAATCAATAAGGTTACATAGTCATATGATAGTATAACAGTTCTGCTTTGGCTCAAGGACAATGCATGAAGAATTAATCTAGTAAAAGAATATACATGTCGTGGCTTTGATGTTGCAAGGTTTTAGTATATACAAATATACAAAAGAGAACAACCTTATCTTGCCACAAAATTGCATATCAAAATAATTCCTCACTGTTCTGGAGTTTATTGACTACATTTCTAAGGTTGACTACGATCGTCGTTACTAAATGTACGTACTTAATAATGTATGGCTGGCGGTGGGACCGATTTTTTTTTCAAGGTTCTCATAATTATTTGCTCTTGACAAATGTATACTAACCTTGAAATTTGTATAATGTTGCACCCTCCAATATACAGCAGCGTGATGCTACACACGTACGAACACCCGCCGAACTCGCCGCATCACACTGAGATCCCCTTATAGTAAGCGCCTGATAGAGAGGGGGTGGTTGGTGGGTTTTACGCATTTCGGTCTAGCTTCTTTCCCCCCCCACCGCTGTACCGTAAGCAAAGCCCACGGAAGAGAGTATTAAAGACATAAGAGCTAAGAAGACAGATAATACCTAAGACAGCATGGATCTCTCCATGATTCTAAGCCCCGCTGTCGAAGAGGAAACGACTAATCCGCGTGCCCCTGCTTCATGTGAACATGGCCGTAATTGGAGCTCTGATGAGCTCCAATGTGCCGTGGCGATCCTTCAGGACTTTCAACAGCCTACTATTGCGTCACTTCCAACAGTACAGGATCCTACGCGAGATGATAGCGGCCCTAAGCAAACGCGCTTTTATCCTGGACACGAACAAGAGTGTAAACAGGAAAAGAATGACAATAACATAACGTCACAAAGACATCGTCCCAATGACGAAGTCTTTGCAGTGAGTGGTCGAGAAGTTCAAAAGAATAAGAGTGAAGGAGATGTACAGCAGCAGAACTCGGCTAGTGGAGTGTGGGGAGATGATAGCATGTCTAAACTAGACCTTCTGGTTCAAGCAGACGAAATTATCAAGCAACGTCGTCCGAACTCGTCAATGACTCACCCAGGTGACAAGACACAATACTTGCGCAGCGGTGTGTGGTCTCGGTCGGAAGAAGAGTATGCTGCAGCGCTCGTGTCGTATTTCCTTCAAGGACTACTGGATCTAGCTGAGGGCACGACACTCCGCAGATTCTTGGCCGATGAGCTATGCTGTAGCCGCCGACGTGTGTCGATGAAGTTAGCAACGGAATCGCTCGCGGGTCAAAAGATTCCACGCAAGCTGGGAGCCTCTGCGTTTATAGCTGCTCAGCGTCCACCGAGTGAGGACAGTCGTCTGAAAGTCAAACGTGTGCTCGAAAAACTTCGAGAAGCCAATTTCAGCTCTAGTCCCGAAGGTGGTCGCTATCACAGCCTCGATACGGACAAGAGCCATTCATTTCGCAGACTTTTTGACCCGGATGAAGCTGACGGTGAAGATCGCGCGTTCAACCTCCATCATGGCCAAATGAGAAGGTCCGTACGTACTGGACGTACGACCAAGCGCAGCAAGCCCACTATCATCCGCACAGGCTTCGAGTCTCCCGAGGAAGAAGAGTATGTTACGACGATGGTCGAGTTTTTCATGGCTGGCCTTTTGGATTTGCCTGAAGGCACAAGGCTCGTACGTTATTTGTGTCAACAGCTAGCCTGCACGCCAAAAGAGTTGTCCATGAAGATGGCGCCGCAATACATGGGTGAACACAAGTTTCCGGCCAACGTTGGATCGATTACGTATATGCGCAAAGAATCAGACATTTCATCATCATCCAATTTGGAAAAAGACGCCTTTTCCGAGGAACTTTTTGAAGTAGAAAGCCGTCTAACCGAGTTGCGGCTAGCTTATGAAGAGACGCACAAGGACACTCTTCGTTCAACAGTGACGATCACAAAGCGTGAGCGCAACTCCAGTACAGCCAGCGTGTCCAGTACAGGAACAGCTAGTGTAGCCAGTACGCCTGACGCAAGCCCTGTGCGCTCTTTCCAGCGCAGCGGCCCGTGGTCTCATGATGAAGAGGTCTATGCTGCGGCATTGATCGATTGTTTTTTCAAAGGAGTACTGGATATTGCCGAGGGCACTACACTTCGTGCTTTTCTGTCGTCACGACTGTGCTGCAATCCCATGCGCATTTCCAAGAAACTTTCGAGTGAGTCTATTGCCAAGATTCGTATTCCCAAGAAGCTAGGCTCCTCCACTTATGCTCTCCGTGCCGAGGTGACGCCTGAAGAGCAAGCCAAGACAGAGGAAACATTGCGAAACTTGCAGCATACGTACCTGCATTCAAGCTCTAAAAAGCGTGGCTCTTTACTGGGTTCAAAACGTCCGCGGTCATCTATGAAAAGAAATACCTCTTGCTCGCACGCAGCAGCAAGAGGTGGCACGGACTCGGATGCCACCGAATCCGACTCAAACACTCGAAGTGCAGGAGGATCCATAAGGTCTGAGACGAAACTCCAAAAGACAGAGGAAGCGCATAGTCAGCAGTTTCAAGGACTCAACGCTGTCCAGAAACAATGACGTCCACAACATTGAAGAAATCATTTACATAGGACGAGTCAGATGGACTACGGTCAGACAACAAGCCAGAGAATGTAGTAATTTCCAAATAGCATCGTACTTACTATTACTATTTCTATGGGTTTGCAAAGATTTCTCTATTACAAATATATATCTTTCAGATATGATATATAATCCATCGCTTCCTTCACAACAAAATCTCTAAAATCTCTTAAGCCTCTTAAGTCTTTAAAGTCTCAAATTCATTGACGTCAAAATCGCTGCATTTTTCATACAAGTGACCAACTTAAACTTGTGTTTGTATGAAATAGTGACATGTTCTTTTTTGTACCTAACTTTGTTAGCAATAGATCGATGAGAGAATCAGATGACAGCCACCAATATCGAAATAAATAGATAATCTCACTAAAATAGTCAGCAAAACCACCCCCAAAAACGTTCCTCAGAACTGGTTGAAATAAAGTGAGCTCAATAATATCCACCAATCAATACGTGTTTTTGATTTTGTTTTATCCAATCCTATCAATACCTCGTTCCTTTTCCAACTGAATGGACATGAAGCCGTTTGGTCTTTTCATTCTCATTTCGTAATTTAACCAAAGAAGTTCCAATGGGTCGTCGTCCAGCTAAATGTTATCGTTTCCAGAACAAGAAACCCTTCATTAAATCACGTTATTGTCGTGGTGTACCTGATCCAAAAATTCGTATCTATGATGTTGGTAATAAAAAAGCATCCGTTGATACATTTCCATTTGTTGCTCATTTAGTATCAGATGAGAAGGAACAATTATCATCGGAAGCTCTTGAAGCTGCTCGTATTGCTGCTAATCGTTACTTGACGAAATATTGTGGCAAAGATAATTTTCATATGCGCATTCGTTGCCATCCGTTCCAAGTTTTACGTATCAACAAGATGCTTTCATGTGCTGGTGCTGATAGACTGCAAACGGGTATGCGTCACGCTTATGGTAAACCTGCTGGTGTTGCTGCGCGTGTAGCTATTGGTCAGCCAATTATCTCTGTGCGTTCGAAGGATTCATTTGGTCCATCGGTTGTTGAAGCTCTACGTCGTGCCAAGTTTAAATTTCCAGGTCGTCAGAAAGTATTGGGCTCGAAGAAGTGGGGATTTACGAAATACGAGCGTGAATTGTATGCTGAGATGCGTGCAAATGGATCACTTGGCATAGATGGCAATCATGAGAAGTACAAACCCAATCACGGTCCTCTTCGACTGTAATTTGGTGTTGCTGGATCGATAGTGACTGCCTCATGTGGTTGAGTTTCTTAAATAGTGACTGTCTGCCTCATTGTGGTTGAGTTTCTTAACCGAGTTGTAGGCAGTTAACGTTAGAAATGACGACTTTCTTTGGTAAGCAATGAACGTCTTTATGTTTTCTACCTTTTCGTTTAGTTAGCCACGTTTACCATTTGCGTACGATTCTACTGGATCAGTCAGTTTGCATGTCCTCAAAACCTACAGGATCACCGACGTCTCTGTGTGTCAGTGCCATGACCTTGAAGATCGTTCCCATTTGCTCAGCATCCACGAGACGTTCGTAAGAGGAAACCAGATCCTGTTGAGCCTCTTCCGACTCTGTATTCTGCAGCAGCATCGCCAGACGATGTTCGATGCCCATGTTCTTCAGGAACACGCCCTGGCCAACGGGACCGAAGCTCCGAATGTTAGCCTCGGCTGTCGCAAACCGCCGCAGCGTGGCGAAATCGACGTCGATACTCAGATCCACGTCACCTGGCTCACGTAGTACACTAACAAACTCATGCTTCTTAATGCCACGCAGACTGAGCTCTGACGGGTGGTCGTAGCCGTAGTCCACAATTAGCGCACCGCCACCCGACTGCGAGATGCGCTTAGCCATGTCTTGCACTAATGCTATACTGACAGGAGAGATCTCAATCTTGTCTCCGACCTGAGCCTGCGCTGTGCGCACAGGAGCACCCGCCGCATCCGCAACATCCAGACGCTGAACCATAGTTTCTTCCATCTTTTTTAAATCATCCACACCAGAGATATGGGTCTCGGCCAATTGCGATAGAGCAGTGGTCGGGTCAAACAATTTTTCGCGGCCAATGTACACTCTTGTGGCCGGTGTTGGACCAGGTGATAGTACAAAGCGGAAGTGGTCATCGCCATCTTCAAAATCAACGTCCACAAGGCGCTCGCACCAACCACTGCAGTATGAAAGCGACCAACATGTATTTCGTCACAATCATCTAGTCATTCTCATCACTAAATAACATGAACAAACGCACCGGTCAGTGTACTCGAACTGATGCACTGGTAGAGCGTCAAAAAGTTCTTGGGCAATCATTAAACTCGGACCATGTGGAACATTTGCAAAGTTTGTATGCCAGCGTATCGTCGGCCCATTATCCGGCAGAGAATAGATTGTATTCTCGGCTGCTGCTGACTTGTCATATATCGGTTCGCACTTTAATGTCTCGTGCTGGATCTTCTGCATCACTAAGTAGCATCAAATACAATCGTAAATTCATGAACCATTGTGTGTTCAATCTCATCATGTATGACAAAAAAACAAGCAGTAGACAATACCTGGACTAATATCAACCATATGAATCTCAATTGCATCATAAAATGATGAAAATGACTTGGCAGCACGTAGAAAATCACTCATTAACGTACCTCTTCCTGGTCCTATTTCCACAATCTTTATATGATTCGGCATACTCATTTGTTGCCATGTAGCTACACACCAGATAGCAATCAGTTCTCCAAACATTTGACTAATTTCCGGTGCAGTTGTAAAATCTCCTTGACTTCCAAATACATTTTTTGCATGTGTCATATAATATCCATAGTCTGGATGACTCATCGCACGTGTCATGTATTCTGCAACTGTCAGTGGTCCTTTCACTTCAATCATGGACCGTAGTACATGTACCAATCTATTGTCAAGACTCTTCAATACTTTTTCACTCGTTAGTGATGATTTTGTAGTCAATACAGGACTCGGTTGTTTCAATCCTGATCGATCCACTTGGATGGAAAAAGACTTGAGTTTCGCGATCGATTCTTCTTCTTGTTGCCATTTCGTATGATTCTGCAATGATAATTTACAATCGATGGAGTTACTACTACTATTACTACTAGAGCTTGAGCTTGAATACGTGGCAATCCATTCAGACGCTTGTACACGACGAGATGGAATTCGACGTCCTGCTACTGCTGTCCATTCACGAGCTAAGACGGTCCACATTTTATTTTACTTCCTCGAATCAGAAAAAAAAACAAGTGTTTCTGATAAAAAGCACTTTCTTTTGCTGGTTCGGATCGATGGAATTAAAACACTTTTTTTGGTCACTTTTTTCGTGATTCATGAATCCAACACTGGAATTCGAGTTAACACTTCCTTTGATTCTTATCGTTGTATTATTATTGTTGGTGGGTATTATACTACAATGTCATGGTGTTAATCCATTGCGTATCTTACGATCATCGTATAAAGTACCTCGACAATCGCATCTCGCACTTGAAAGTTCGGATAGAGAACGTGAAGTATTGCTCGCAGTTGATCGTAAAACCCGTACGTACGAATAGTATCGACCATAGTAGTAGTATTAATATAGTAGTAGTAGTAATATTGTAGTAGTGTAATAGTAGTAGAATATTAATATATTATACAAAATAGTACTATTTTGGAGTTAATATGTATATATATATGTTGTCACTTGTATGCAGGAATTCGATATACTGGCAATGATACAATTGCAGAATTAGCTGCTTGCAAGACCCTACGAGAGACTGAAGCATTTATTCATGTGATTAATGTACATCGTGTATTAAACTCCAAGGTCAAGGCACAACACTTTGCACAGTTTTGCAGTTCTAGGCTCCAGCTATCACGAATGAGGATCAACACATTGGCAACGATCATTCTATCACTCCAGAAGTATGCAACAGAGCCAGATGTTGTCATATGTATTCGTAACTGCTTCTGTGCAAAGCGGACTATGGCGTGTCTACAACTCAAGGACAAAGTGGATGCCAAGTTTCCCATGTTTGATCTAATCTACCATTGCATTCAGTCAGAAGGAGAGCGTGAGGCTATTTTGAAACATTTTGATGCAGAAGCAGCAAGGCTTCAAGCATCGTCGACTTATTTTGCACCGATCAAGCTGCTGTGGTAAGTATTTGTTAGTAGTAAAAGTGTGGTTGTTCTGCATGCATACTCGGGCAATTAATACGCGTAAGCTCCATTGTACAGTGACATTGACGATACGATGCTTGCTGCCCTCTTCGACACGCGCTATCCAGAGCTTACAGTGTATCCTGGTGTCCATCAGTTTGCTCAGGAATTACTTCGACGATCAGCTACGATTGCTGCGAATTTTGCTGACCGACATAGTGAATACGAATATGACGACAGCGACAGTGATAAAGACCTTGAGGCTGGCAGAACCGGCAGATTGAAGAAACCCAAGGATGTGCAGCGCGTGGCGTTCCTGACTGCGAGACCTGAATTATTGCGAAAGCGGTCTTTACAAGAGCTTCGTGCATGCGGTTTCCAGCATTTTACTCGTGCGAAATGTCTATCAACGTTCAATGTGACTTGTCTTGGGAAAACTAATGTTGTTTTGCAAACTGCGCAGTTTTAATGGGTTGTTTTGCCAACATGTGGGGCTCGCAACGTATTGCATTAGGAAAGCTTCGGGTGAGTGACAAGAGATTGAGGTTGGGAGTGTACTGCTTCAAAGCGCTTTCTAATTGTTTGCATGCAGAATTTTGTTCGGTTCAAGCGAATCTTCGCTGAGCACCAGTTTGTCTTTGTAGGAGACAACGGACAAGGCGACATTGATCTCGGCAAGGAGCTACTAACGAATCCACGCCTGTATGCTGTGTCCGCTGTACTTATCCATGACGTCATTCGCAATCACACCCAAGACAAACCGCTCAGTCGGCATTCATATCGTGGGATAGAGTGCAGCCAGAGCGGTATTTATTCCTTTCGCACGTACATCGGTGCAAGTTTTCACCTGTACGTTGTGGGTCTTCTGCCATTGTGCTCTGTCATTCGCGTTGTGGAAAAAACGGCATTGGCTTATGCAGCGATCGTGTTCGACACGCGCGAGCAAAAGCGGAACCTTGCAAGGGAAATTCTAACCGATGTCGCTGCAGTGGTAAATGAACTGCCTGACCAGCAGGCAATGGCACTGGTGTCGTCGCTTCATGACGACCTCGTGGACAATGGACACGATGATGAATTGAGTAGCAGATTCAAACCGAAAAAACCACGACTCACGCGAGAAGAGCAGCTTCAACAGCGATTAAAGGCTGTAAAGCAGAGCGCAACGAAACCCTCGCAAACGTCACGCAGCGACCTTTAGTGTAAGACAAAAAGAAGCGAAAAGCTGATTTGTAGCTCATGTAAAATACCGCATCTCTCGATTGCTGCTAGCATGAAAGGAAACATTTCAAACTCAATGTGGTCAAAAACTTCAATCCTGTCGATCCAAATGCTCCTTCTGCATAGTCTTCAATTGCTGCAAATATCAAGTAGCCATCCGTAGACACAACTAATCGATTTTCTTGGAGACGCTGTAGATAGCACCATCGATCATGCGCGCTACAGCAAAGACACCACCTATAATAGCACTTGTACTGGTGAGGAAGTGCAATACGGACGGCTTGGATTCAATGTATTCCACTGCAATGGGTGAAAACTCATAGGAGAATATCACACCGGGGAATGAAATGTGTCCATTAGGACCTTGTGAAATCGTCTCATGTTCCGTCACTGAGTACTGGAACGTCGTCACCGATCGACCATTCAGATAGATGTAGCGAGTAGGTACGATACTGACAAAGTACTTGTACACTGCCACTAAAAAAGAGACAAAACACGACAAGTGAATACAATAACAACCACAGCAGCAGTTTTCTCTCTCTTTCTCTCTCTCTCGACTTACAGTTATTCATCACGATCTTGCTAACGTCAATCAAAGGCGTCTCCATGTCTGGAATATGCGGGCCGAAGCGCAGATGATTGACTATGTGTGACGAGTTGAAGGTGAGGAATTCAAATAGGGAAAACATGTTGAGCGAACCTTCATGACCAAAGGACAAGTCGGCTGCTACCTTCTGTACTTGAGCTGTACCATAGAATCTACACCCATTCTCTCCAAATGGCTCTTCCTCAATATTTGTCTTCAATAGTACGTCCTTAATACCCTTCGAATCACTTACATCCATTGCTACATCTGTTCAATAAATAAATAATTACTTATAACACAATTATTTATATACTATACAATTATTTATTACCATTGCAAGCCTCATGAAGAAATACAATGTCCACTTCAACATTAATTGGATAATCTTGCTGCTTTCAATAGAACGATAATCAATACAATAGCAAAAATAAATACATAATCACAATTAGTGAGAGAAAAAATTGTGACTATAATGAGATAAAATTAATTAAAACTTACAGGATCAGTATCGACGTGCATACGGTGTGTAACACTCACAGTCCACCAGATAGAGAGCTCAGATAGCAGTAGAAAAGATACTACTAAACAACTCACTAGTGTCACTAAACCACCACTAATAGTGCGCTCTTGAATGCCTTCTACACCCTTAGAATTAAGGTCAAAGCAACGCCAAGACATGACGAGCAGATGTGCCACGTGGTAAATGTAATTGTTGAGATAAGTTCGATTTAAGTTCGATTTATAAATAACGATATAAGTTCGAATTAAGTTCGGTTTGTAAATAACGCATGTATAATTTGATATTTTTATAACTTAATTAATAATTGTTATCCATCTAAAATTGTCTGACTACCACCAGTCAGACAATGTGGCTCTTCAAGCTCATGTGATAACATCCAATCCCTTCTTACGAGCTTCCTCTATATGTGCAATACTGATCCCTTTGCATCCACTTATGTTCAGCTTTCTTAAGCCTTTTACTCTTCTTGTCGTTTCTAAATTCGACCTACTTTTTGGAAGAAACGCATCGATCGAGGCATTGGTAAGCTGCGTACACCACACAAGCAGCACTACCTCCAGGTGGTGGCAGCCATAAGCAACGTCCACAATACTCTTATCGGTAATGTTCATACACCACGATAAGTTTAGACGCTCCAGCTGATGACCGTAACGTCCAAGCATACGCACGCCCCGATCTGTGATCAGTGCGCAGTTGTTCATGTCCAACGTGCGCAGACGCCTGCACGAGCGCACAAGCGCTTCAATGCCTACGTCCGTGATTCCGCTACAGCAGCTAAGCTTTACTTCCTCTAGCAGTTGACAGTGCTTGGCCAGTGCGAACAGCGTGTTGTCAGTGATGCTGCTCTGGGTGACATCAATGGCGCGCAAGGCACGACCCATAGTGTAAAAGCCGTTCAATTGGTCTGATGGCTTAGTTGTAAACGCCTTGTCCGATATGTCCATAAAGGACAAGTTCAATCGCTCCAGGTCGTTCGCTGAGCAAAGCAGCAGGTGGATCGCGTCGTCGTGAATACGCTATACAAAACAAATAACACAAACACAACGTCAGCCAAGATTCTGACTACAGCATTTCGCTCACCAACAACATACTTTGCAGCGTGAAAAATTAATATCAGTGAGAGACCGGCACGCTTTGATCAAAAATAGCACAATGTCCTTGGTCAATTGTGAGCAGCGTGCAAAGCTCACTACCTTTAGTGATGTGCATGCGTGCAGCACGTAAAATGGTGAGTGATCCGGCTGAAATGCAGCATCCGTGATGTGGCGGCATCCATCCAGCTGCAGAGTCTGCAAGTTCGAGCAGCCTTGCAACACTGCACGAATCACTGTGTTGGTGACTTGGGGGCAGTTTGATAGATCCAAGCAGCGCTGTGTGCAGCCATTAATATGAATCAAATCAGTGCGTGTCTCGCATGACTAAGAATGACAATGACAATCACAAATAACGTACGAGTTCCGGGCAGCGAAAGGGAATTTGGCGTAAGATTGAGTTCCGAATGGAGCAGCAGCCCGAGAGGTTTAGCACACGCCGTGAGATCATAAAGAAAGCAGCAAGTCGGTCATCCGTCAGCGTCTTGGACGCAATCATATCAGTCAATAGTTTTAGCACCAGTTCTTCAGGTAAACGACTGTAGAATGCAATACATCAATGAGTCGTATTAGCATTTGGACAGCGCAACATGAGGAAAGCATAAGACGCACCGTAAAATATGGAGCAATACACGCTGCGGTGCACCTGCAGCTAGACGTGACACACACAATGCAGCCAATGACGGTGCAGTCTGTGGGGTTTTACTCATTAGTTGGAGTAGAAAAATGAGAGACAAGTGGCAGGAAGGGAACAAGTCGCTTGTAGACGCTTTACAGATAGGAAGAAATGTAACGAATGGCTTGGCGACTGGAACGTGGAATACGATAAACTACTCAAACGCATTATTCATAATTTAGCAAAGGTGCGAGAGATTGATGGGATCTAATAGGTATCGACAATGACAGAGTGAAGCCATTTATTAGAAATGCGAAAGACTGTCAAATAACACCCAAACAATTAGCCATTCTGCTTCTTCTGACATGGTGTGTCGATTCCTATTATACAGATTTATACTCAAGTGGTGAAATGCATGTCATAGGTTGTACCAAGCTAAGCCAACTCAAAAGATACCCAGGCACTTCCACTTCCATCTCCGATAAACTCTTTGTACTGCTATCAGTCTTGGTTTTTTGAGCTTGAAGTAGTTGCATGGCAGCAGCAGTTTCACATGGATGCAGAAATGAAAACGGCTTGCCCAGGACCGGGTGCTCTTCCATGGCAATCAACATAGATCGGCCATTCGAGCCAGGAAACGCGACATCGTGAGTGACATCTTCGGACGGCAATGGCCTTCCGTCGACAGCTGATGCGCGAAAGTACAACACCGGTGTCTGATAGATGGTGTGGTAGACAATGTGGAATTCAAGCAGTGCAGTCTCGACTTCTTGAGGCTGCAACGTTGTCTGATCGTTATCGCCGCTCGTCCAGTTGTACTAATCAATATTGCAATAAACGCAAACAATTTACTGGTATGCCCCTTTCATGTTGAATGATCCACTACATGATACAGTAGAGATCATGACCCACCTCTCCAATCTGCAACAGTTCATCAATATCTTGACCTCTCTTTATATCAATCCTTACACTCTCATTATCCTTCGTTGACCGATATAGTCGAGTATTTCCACTTGAAACGAGATATAAATTTCCATCCAAGTGCTTGAATGTTACAAACATCAACCATAAGTTGATTATACAATATCGTTATTTAAACGACTCTACTACACACCTGTCGTTTACCATATCGACACTCCCACGTGGCAATACACCTTTCATCTCCCACTTGTTGTCTACTCGCTATCTCATGTGATCTCTTCTGTAGCAGTTCTGCTTCGATACAAAACCTCTTGTAGCTTAGGCTACCGTCACGCATTTGGTTGGATAAGGGAATAAAACCCATAAAATAGCATACTTTGTAGTAATGTACACTACACCACCATCCTTCTCTTCTGTCCAAAATATAAAACCTTCTCAATTCTCATCTTCCTTATGGACTCGTCCGTCCTTCTCGTGTGGTTTCTTTACGCTAGTATAGCACTGATCCTTCTTCTTCTCAGTACATCGTTCGTATTGTATAGTCAACCGAAGAATGGAACATCATCTTATCTTGAATCTTTCGCAAAGACTTCTACACTCAGTGCTTCACCACTCACTGTCTCTTCGCGTTTTATTAATATTGTTTGCATTCTATCACTCTATATGTCACTCCTGTGTTTATTTACCGCCCCTGTAGATGTTTATTTACTGGAAAATGGACTATCACATGTACCAGCTACTGGACAAACGCTTCGAATAATGTATCAAGTCTATTTTGCAGCCTTGGCACTCTATTCCTTTGTAGGAGCACCACTGGCTTATCATTATGCTAAAGAAACCGAAGTTGCACATTTGACACTTCGATTTTCGGCGAAAGATCGACTCTATGCTGCTGCAAAACGCACGGCATGCTTTTTACTGGGACTATCGCTGTTGTTACTCATGTCTATGGTCGTGCTACTATGTGGCAAACCTGCTAGCTCTGATATTGATTGGTTAAGACCATTGCTCCGATTTTCATCGGATCTAGAGACTTTTCTACGACTGGTAGTAGGAATTTTGGTACTTACAGGGATATACATCTGGTTGGTCGTGTGCAGCAGAGGACTTGCGAGTGTGCCGCTGGTTGGCTTGTTAATGGAAGATCACAGTATTGACGAAAACATGGCGACATTTGAAGATTTATTGCAGGAGAATGCAATCGAAACACAAGCAACAAAACAGACAAGAGAAGCAATTCTGCAGCGATATGCTGTTGAACAGCAAATGAGTGGTGCGGATCAAGAACGATTGTTGCAACTAAAGACGCGTGAACAGCTTCTTGAAGAACGTCGAGATGTGCTACACGCAAACCTAAAGAAATTTGCGCTGACTGGAAAACTGTCTTGCTGGAAAATTCCAGTTGGTGTGACCTTGATGATAGTATCGCTACTGATCGTGATATCTATGCTCATCACTAGCATCGACAAGATAGCACACTCCAACTTCGACCGGGGATTTCTTTTGAATGCACCTGAGTTTCCGAATCCAATGGACCTACTGCTAGTACTAGCATCGCGCGTCTTTCCGCTGGATTATGTGGTCTTTGCAGTGCTGTTTGTGTACTTGTTTACGATTTCGTTGATAGTGCTCAAGCGCCACGGTCTGCAGTTCCTGTGTTTTCGACTTGGACGATTGCAGCCGCGACTTACGTCCGCTGCTACGATGACTATGCTTTCTCTTGTGCTAATGCAAGTTGCAATGGTAGGGCTTTTTGCACTGCTTACACTGGCGCCGCAGTATTCCACGTTTGGTCACCAAATGTTCGCTGATAAATCTGGACGCGTTATTCCCTGCACATTGGAGGAAGCAGCCAATGCCGCTGCAGCTGCAGCCAAGTCGGGTAGGCCGCCCACTCATTGCCGGACGACGCAGCTGGCACGATTTTACAATGCACTTGCAGTTGAGATACCCATGTTTGGTACAGCCTTTTTTGCTGGCCAATTCATATTTGCCGCTGCTTTCGTGCCCTGGATCGCACATGCCTATTGCATGGCAAAGAAGCTTGATGATCATGTTGACCCCAAGCGCCAGCGACTACTTGACGACTACTAAGTTACGTTACAGCTTTGAGCTCATAACATGTGTGTAGTAAATGTAGATGGCAATAAAGCCATCAGGGAAGAAAAACAGAAGCTGTAAGACGTAAGTACTAAATTTTTTATATATCTCAAACACCTTACTGCTTTTCGTTTGCATCTTTTGCAGAAATTCCAGCCTACTGCTGTCTTCATCTTCAGTAGCAGATATGCTTAAAACCGTGGATCATTGCTTTACCTATTGCTCTGCATCGATTCTCACTTTTTCCACTAACTATTAATGGCTGTGAGAGGATGCGTTGCTAGTAGTGTCCGTGGAGCTCGTGCGCTCCTTACCCGCAAAGAAGCGATTCTGGAACCCGCCAAAGATGTTGCGGATGTTGCCGGCAGGACTGGCAGCCTCGCTTTGCGACCCCCTCTGTCCGTGTTGCGAGGCATTAGAGCCCCGAGCTTCTTCAAATGCGCCAGTAGCATGATTGGGATCACAACTAGCCAAAAACGACTCGTATGACTGTTCACGCTGCTGCAGTAGTTCCTCAGTGCGGCTTTGCTTTGCTTCAACACGTGAACACACTTCTTCAAAAGCCTTCTTGGCAGTAACGTACTCCTTTTGCAATGCATCAAGATCATGCTTGATCCCCACCAGTTCGTGCTCACTCTGCTGAATACTGCGTAGTGCTGGTGACCGTTCGTCAATCTTTAGACACTTGATGGAGTATTTCACTGCCGACAGCCAGTTGTCTCCGTATACACAAAACAAATGTTCACCCTTGTCTAGTGGTACGGTGCGTCGTACTTCAAATAACGTCAATTTGCTAAAGATCTCCGGCAAATCCGAGTCACTATTCGCACCTGGCCACATTTCTGGATTCAAATCCATCAGTTCCACGGTACTTGACAAATACATGTCTGCAGCCGTACAACGCGCTTTCTTGACCGACTCTTGGACCATACGCACAGCTCCATGTTGATCAAATAATACCACTTTAAATTTACTCTTAGTAGCTGAACGACACATAAATGCAACCGACTCTCTGTCTTTATCGACCTGTAATTTGTAAAAATGTGCATCCTGTTTATCTACTTTTGCATGACGTTCCATACCAAATACCATTCGTGTAACATGTGGTAATTGTGTTGAATTGTTTCTTGCATCACATAAATCTTTAGCAGCTGAGAGTACTGATTGAGAGATTTGAGTAGGAATGGGCATACCAATTTTAGTAAAGAGAGCACCCACAACACGACCAAAACCACCCATTGATTCCACATCGACACTTTCAAATTCCATATCCTTTCCACTATCACCTGCTACATCATACTGACGACGTTTATTAGGATCACTTAGTACTGCATAAGCAGCACTAGCATGTTTAAATTTATCAGCAGCTTCAATAGAGCCAGCATTACGATCAGGATGATACTTGAGTGCAAGTTTTCGATACGCTGTTTTGATTTCTAACTCACTGGCTGATTTATCAACACCTAATACTTCATATAGATTGGTGGATTCTTTTGGTTGTTTTGGGATTGATTCACTCATGAGAGAGCCAACTATTGATTCTAGACAAGAGAGAGAAGAGAGGAGAGAGAAAGAGAAAGGAGGGGGTGATTTAATACGATGAATCAAAAGAATAGTGGGCGAAAGAGAAGAAATGAGGTTGTGGTCGCACTGACATGCTCATAAGTACGATTACTCTACTATAAATACTTAAGCTTACAGACAAACATTATTTGTTGATGTAATCTGATTTTCAAGCCAAAACAAGTAATGGCTTCTACCACAAACCATCTTTCCAAACTACCAATTTCACACCATTTAAAACAAAACGAAACATCAAATCAAGCAGCAGAAGAACCAAAACACAAGAAGACACCAAGTCCTCGTTCTTTCTCTCTCTCTCTTCTTCTTCTTCTTCTTCGTTCTTCTTTATTGAACTCACTCACCAGTTCTGTTGCCATTCTTTCCTGTCACCTTTTGTTCCACTGTCGTTGATTCCCTCCGTTTCCTACTGCTCCTATCACTTGGTTCTACATTTCGTTGGTCCACGCATCATCGTCTCGCAACTTCTTCGTCGTCCGTTCCCAAAGCTTAGTGTCACCATTGACGACGCCTCGGCAATGCGCCGCAAACCACGCTGCTGGATGGGGAACGTTCACTAGAGGGACTTCTAAATAAGATCCGCAACGTTCATGGGCATCTCGTCGATTTGCGTGTTGTAAAACTGCTCAATATCGCGCAGGTATCGCACATCGTTGTGCGTCAAAAAGTTGATGGCCACACCCTTACGACCAAAACGACCCGAACGACCGATACGATGAATGTAGTTCTCGCGGTTCGTGGGCAGATCGTAGTTGATGACCAGCGATACCTGCTGCACATCGATACCACGAGCCAGCAAGTCCGTTGTGATCAGCACACGCGAAGAACCAGAACGGAATTCACGCATAATGATGTCACGCTCACGCTGCTCCATGTCACCGTGCATAGCCGATACCGTAAAGTCCTTCGACTGCATCTTCTCAGTAAGCCAATCCACTTTTCGGCGCGTGTTACAGTAGATGATGGCCTGTGTAATGGTCAACGTCTCGTACAAATCACATAGTGTGTCGAACTTCCACTCCTCGCGGTCAATGGCAATGAAGAACTGCTTAATACCTTCCAAAGTCAATTCGTCGCGCTTCACAAGAATCCGGATAGGATCGCGCATGAACCGGTGAGTCACCTCAAGCACGTCAAGCGGCATAGTGGCCGAGAACAAAGCCACCTGTACCTTTTCAGGCAAAAAGCGAAAGACCTCATAGATCTGATCCTTGAAACCGCGGGACAGCATCTCATCGGCTTCATCCAGCACAAACATTTTGACCTCATCAGTGCGTAAAGCACGACGATTGATCATGTCACCGACACGGCCAGGCGTACCCACCACGATGTGCACACCTTGTTGTAAGGTGCGAATATCGTCGCGTACGGCAGTACCACCAACACAGGCGTGTACTTGTACACTCATATAGTCACCAATAGCAACCACAACCTTGACAATCTGCTGGGCCAGTTCACGTGTAGGAGCAAGGATCAAAGCCTGAGTCTCCTTCAGACCAATGTCAATCTTTTGTAAAATCGACACAGCAAATGTTGCGGTTTTACCAGTACCAGATTGAGCCTGAGCAATACAATCATGACCTAATAGAATGGGTTTGACAGCACGTTGTTGAATAGCTGATGGTTTTTCAAAACCATAAGCGTATATACCACGTAGCAATTCTTCACGTAGTTCCATACCATCAAACGTTTCAATTACTTCATCCCAATTCGTTTCAATATCGCCTTCATTAAGTTGAACCTGTTCATCATGATCTCCCTCGGTGTTTTCACTAAATAATATCCCAGTTATATACAAAAATGTTAATAAAAGACAAAGCAATGCACAAAACTCATTCATGGTTTCGGAAAAAGCTTACGTTGTTGGCTTACGGTCTTCCACGTCAGCCATGATGACTACACTAATTCTTTATTTAATAAGCTCTACAATGATACGTAAATGTAGTGGCGGGTGGTGAAAAGCAAAGAATCAAACAGATAGAAACAAACAAAGTTCCCGAGTTCTTCCTCCTCTTTGTGCGTGTTGTTGGGTTTTGGACGCGCAAGAGAGCGAGAGATTTGACTGGAACGTTAAGAACTTGAATTTTGTATGCCTCATCAAGTGGGTGGCCAGCAGACTGTCTAACAAAATAGACTTCATGGTAGTCCATCTATCAATAAAAATTATTGATGGCTTCCAATTCAACAAAAGGATAAACAAACAAAAGAATCAAAATAGTCATTACAATAGGTCTTTTTCACCACAAAAACACAAATCACAAAACAAGACAAAAACACAAAAACATTCATTCTCGTCATGGCCGAAGACATTGGGCGAAGGATACATGAGCTCCTGACTCAGAGCTTACATGCACCCGAACCACAGCGTTCAGCAGCTGAGAAGAACTTGCAACAACTCCATAAATGTCCTTTGACTCTTCCATTTCTCACTCGTATCCTAGAGATGTATGTAGCAGCTCCTAATGCCGACGGAATGCAGTATAATCGTATGCAACTTGCCTTAGAAGACGTTAATGTGCGTTTATTAGCTGTTTTGTGGCTAAAACAATACCTGAAAGAGAAGTGGAAGGTACGAGATAGTACTAATACTACTATTAATTGTTTATCCGATGAAGAACGCGTTCATATACGTCATTTGTTGCTATTTGCAACACTTCATGAGTCTCAAGAGACAATCGCACTTCATTTATCACTCATTGTTGCTGCAATCGCCCGTACTGATTTTCCAAGTCAATGGACATTCGAGACATTGTTTTCAATCATGTTGCAGCCGTTGAGACGGCAGAATGAAGCTATGGAGTTGTCAAGGGAGACGAAACGCGGACTAGACGTGTGCTACCGCATTGTAAAGGAGCTGGCGACTAGACGACTCATGCAGCATCGAAAACAATTTGCAATGCTTAGTGTAGAGCTGTTGCCGTTATTACTACAGTACTGGACAGTAACGGCCACGCAGCTGAATGAATTCTTGCAGGCACAGGAAGAGGCAGCAGAGTTGACAAATGCAGAAAAGGCTACAGCTATTGTATCAGCGCTAACGATCGCAACAGCAGGCGATCAGCTGCATATGTTGACGACCACTACGAAACTTATCTCGACAATGCTGTTGAATGCGTTTAGGGATTTGGCAGCGCTGCACAATGGTGAGCTTATGCGATCTGCACTTGTCGAGTTCTACAATCAGCTTGAAAGACTTTTTAGGTTTAAACAGTCATTTGTAGCATTGGTTGAGAAGGTGGGCAAGCTTGAGACTGGTGCAGAGGTAGAAAAGGTGATGCAGACGCTTGACAAGTGCTTGCACCGCATCGCGGCAATTGTCGTTGGCGTGCAGAACTCGTACCCGATCGAGTTTCGAGAATACTTACCACCATACCTTACGCTGTTCTGGAACGTCATTCACTCGTTTGCTGCAATCTCTTCGACTGCACTTTCATCGCCTTGGCAGCCCCAGATTGATGCGCTCCAATTTTTTTCCAACGTACTGAGCTGCCGCCTATATAAAAATGAGAGCCTCTCTGGTCCTGATGGCACGACGCGGATTGTGTCAAAAGTCATTACAGCCACGGGAGATGTTGCATTAACGGACGCAATGGTGTTGGAAGCGCAAGCAGCATTACAGACATTTTTTACACAGACAGAGGATCGTTTTGCTTCTATGATGAATCTAGTGGTGATGCGCTACATGGCCCTAACTGCTAAGGACTTGGCAGAGTGGCAGGGTGATCCGGAGGCGTATTGCACTCTCGCGGAGAGCTTAACAGCGAATGAGTCGGTGCGAGTTTGTGCGGAAAATGTTTTTTTGACGCTAGTGCAGAATTTTCCAAACCAAACGATTCCAGCATTGACGCAGACGATCTTAGCTGCCTCGATATATCTACTAGAACTCGGGCGTGGTCAGGCATGTAGTTCTGGTGACGATGAACGAATACTTGGTATAGATGCCATGCTTTTAGCAATTGGTCTGGGTTGTTATGACCTCCACGATTGCTTTGAGTTTGAACCCTGGTTTCTTACCTACCTTGTGCCAATACTGGTAAATCCTGACGCTGCAGTTGGGTCGTTTCAAGGACTACCCGTTTTGCGTTGTCGTATTGTATGGCTCGTCAGCTGTTGGCTAGCGCAACTAAAGTCAAACGTTCGACCGCCACTTTACGATGCGTTGCTTAGTACGTCGACGTTCCTTCGCCAAGGGGACGCCGACGTTGCTCTTAAGCTGCGTATTACTCAGACATTGGAATCGATGGTGAATGACTGGGGATTCGAGCACGATGCGTTTGCTCCATTCTTGCCACGGGCGTTGGAGTGCTTGTTTGCCTTCTTTCCGCAAGCACATGAGTCTGAAAGTAAAATGAAAGTGCTGGGGTGTTTGGAGGCAATAGTTCAAGCGTATGGTGCGCATATTATTCGCTTCTGTCATCAGATTAGTGCGCCCCTACCTGAACTGTGGACCAACGAAAGTGGTGCCAGTAATTTTGTTCGTGGTAAAATTCTCCAGCTTATGGCAAAGCTCCTTCAAGGTGTAAGCGAAGCACAGCAAAATAGTGTGGACGCACGTGTGGAGGATGGTAGCGTACAGACACTGTTGCGTATGTGCGTCCAGTTCGTCCGGTTTGCGACTGACGTGTCAAACCCTGACGAAATTTTTTTGATGGAAAGCGGACTCGAACTCTGGAACGAAACTCTTGAAATATCGACGGTATACACCGAGGAGGTCCACGCACTCTTTGGAAATGTATTGCGGGTAATGGAACGCGACTTTGAGCATGTGTCGCTAGCATTGACTATATTGAAGCAATACTTGCGACTGGGCAAGGTGCAATTCTGGCAGAGCTACCACTCTAGCGTTTCTAGGCTTTTACGGAGTGTGATCGGTAACGTTATTACAGAGGCTTCCTTGCAGATTGTTCAAGTGGTAGAGATCATAGTCGCTACTATTCCATCTGATCAAGTGAGGGAATTAATATCCGTGGTAAAGGCGATGGTGGAAGCATGCATCGCTTTTGAGCAAAAAGAGAAGAAGCGTGAGCCGGAAACTGTTGTTGCCGGATACTTGAGCGTCATTGCTAGGCTAATGATAATTGACTTTGACTTTACGCTGGAGACTTTACTAGCGAGTGATCACATCGCACTGCAGTTGCTAGTGGATGCGATGCTTCGATTGTTCTACACTGTGGGTTCATCACCGTTGACGTCATTGAGACGGAAGGTGTGGGCACTTGCATTGAGCTCTACTCTCATGTCAATGGAGCAGCAGCAGCTAGGGAGGACTGGCCAGATCCTGGAGATCTGTGTCGAGGTAATAGAAGATGAGCAACAGGAACAAAAGCAGAGACAGACTGCTGCAACTGCAGACAGTGACGAGGATGGTGCTCGGTCGTTGGGGGTCTATCGTGCATTTCAAGCTCACCGCAAGATGCAGCAGCAACAGCCGAGCGTCGAAGACATCCCTATCTTAGCAGTAGATTTGAAGGTATTTGTTTGTGGAAAATTGAATGGCCTTGCAGCGAAGCTGGGTACCAATACTTTCAACAGTCTGTTGGAAACAGTGGACTCGTCGGTGCTGCGCAAGTTTCAGTCATGAAAGATTCGTTACGCGCATTATGATGCAATTTGATTGTGTCAATCGTTTGAGAGTGTTTTGCGGAAACGGCCTTCGATAGATACCGAAGACAGAGCCACCGCGGTTCTGCACAAGAATGCAGCCAGATCGATAAGACATGGCTGTATCGCGAAAAGCTTCGACAAACACTAGTGACGTGATGGTGCTTTGCCGAGTAGGTCTGCCTCGTCGCATTTTGCAAACTGACAACCTGAAGAGTTGCCAAGGTGAGCTTCTAACGAAAGTGCAGGGACGTCTGCACTTTGCAAACCTGACTGCTGTCGTTGAGAAAACAGACGCCTACAATAAGCAGACACGCCATGTGTATTACACACTTATCTGGCCGTTGTGCTCACTCTATCGAGAGATCGTCCCCACGAAGCGTAAATTTAGAGCAAAGAACTAACTTAATCCATCTGTGAATGCGCGTTCTTTATCTGCAAAACTTAGTTTCAAGTACAGCTCATTCGTTGTCACAAATTCCATGAAACCCGAGGTGCACGCCCTTCTCTAAGTCTCGCAATGTGGACTTCAAGCCAATGACCCCCATGGCAAGGGCCGATAAACCGATTGTCGTTGCTAGGAGATATACCATGATGGACTCGCGTTTGTACTTTTTGACCGCATACGCCACCAGCTTTTGACCGCACAAGCCACCGATGCAGCCCATGAGTGAAAACCAAGCCATGTAGTCGTACTGACGCTCTCCTGGGAACTGGCCGTTAATTGCAAATTGTAGCGTCGTCGATGACGAGGTGAACAGAATCATAAAGTTGGCAGTTGCCGATTGCACAGGAGGTAAGATGCCCATCTCAAGCATGATAGGGCCCTTCACCATGCCACCTCCGATACCCAACAGACCTGCGGCCACGCCTGCCATGGTGCACAAGGTTGGGAAGATAAGTACGCGGCGCTTGATCCAGTGAATATCACCCTCAGTGAACGGATAGCCGCTGAGAACTTTCAGGCGGTTTAGTAGACGTAATTGGTATCCTACCCACACCGTAATCGCCACCAGAACCAACAACGGCAGGATTGTGACAATCCAATAATCCACAGAGTTGCAGGTGAGTCCAATTATACTGGGCGCTCCATGTCCTCCGCGCAGCAGGGACTGGACCAGCACCACTAGCCAAGATAGCACCAAAGGGAATATATACTGGAGCGGGAACAAACGCATTTCTCGCTCCTCGATAGCCTTTCGCCTCGCAAGTAAGTGGTCATCGTCCAGAGTAAAGGTGCCGAAATCACGCTTGTTTAGTCCACCCAGCAGAGCATGAGAGCTTGATAATTGGTGTTCACGGAGTGGCGGCAGGGACTTTGAGTCGTCTTCGTCTTCAGACCTAATTTGACGCAGTTTCTTGTTGCGGCGAGTCTTTGCAAGCCATCGCTTTGCAGCAATCTCTACAGTGAATCGCTATTTGACACAAACTCATTCATGTGATAAGTAAGTGCATTCTACGATGTTAGCAAGAAGAAGGTCTACATAACATACACGATAAATTGACCACTGGCGACCGCGACCTCCACCATTAGGACCACCCTTGAGCACCGACTTGACAAGTGCAAGCTGATGGCTGGACTCTGTTTCGTGAATCTGAACAAAACAGCAATTGCTATGTTAAGTGCCGCAAATGATGAAGTTAACACCTATACGTCACCACGCTACCTTGTTACCCTTACAAACGGTCTTGTAAGTGATGTACGAAAGCAGCGAGACTAGGAGTACCAAGATGAGCCAGTCCGGGAACATGTGATTCATCATCACGCCAAAGATGGTGCCAATAAGTGTAGTGGGCTCCATAATTCCCGCAACTTGGTAATTTATGAGCGGCAGCTTCGCATTCACTGGCAAATAAGAAGATAACAACTCGTCTTGTCAGTCACCCTTGGTCTCATTCTCTACTTGGCTTGTTAAACAATCAACGTACTTGGATGTTTGCGGTTGAAATTGAAGAGGTAAGCAGAAACGGCATTGCCAAAGATAGTGGCTTTAGACAACGGAATGGCGTGCTTGGGGCTCAATCCATACAAGACGTACATAGGTACAAGAAGCCCTCCTCCTCCAACGCCACAACCAGAACCAAGTGCAGTGCTTAGAAAGGCAATGAATGTAGCCACCATGTCTTTCCAGGTGAAGGGATCGAACAAGTCCTTCTCCGTGCAATAGGCGACAGTCACTATCTTCCCGACGGCATTTCGAGCAAACTGCGGGTGCATGTTACCCGTTTCTGCGTCCAAAGTCTCCACCACTTGACATCGTTTCGATCCAGAGACACTGCAGTCATCTGCATGAGGACGGCAGTACTCACACTTGCTGTAACAACAACCCAAGGATGCACAAATTAACATATATCAATACATTGACATCTCCACACGAATACAAGACTGAGAATGTACTTCAAGATACAAGCCAATGCAGGCAAAGAGGATCCACAATCACTGTTCTTGGAGCATTGAATCCCGATAATATCATGAAACATTTCATTTTGTGCAGTAGACACGGACACGATCCAACTCACAAGTAACAACCACATGATGTTTGTCATGATTCGAAACTGAGATTCTGTAATACAAAATCTAGTAAGTCACACGTAATTCCGCCCCACTAAATGCACACTATGGCTACATTTATAGATCTTGTGTGGCTGACCTGCTGTTGACCTCAAAATGACCTCCTGACCTGTTGACCTTGTCAATTACTTGCAGATATGTTATTGTCATCCAACCCGATAACGACGACACTTTGACCGTGAAGGTTTGACAAAAAGATAACAAGAGATTGAAAGGGTACTGACTTTTGAGTTCAAGTAAAGCAGAAGCGTTGCGACTTGCGCATTTCAATTGTTTCATGCAAAGATTGATCGACTCCAAACGTATGTCACTATTGTCGAAAAGAAGCAGTCTTGTGTCCAGTCACCTGAATGTCTCTCATGAGAAAACTCCATTTAATGAGTCGTCCTTGTTGACAGCGCACTGCTAAAGTGTAGATCTAATTCAGGACTCCCAGTCGCATTGTGACTCAATCACCTTCAGATCCAACGCAGACGTTAATATACCCGTTCTCGACCTGCTGCGGCCTCTGTGTCATCATTGGCGAGGTGACGGCAACAACTGCACTACCTAAACATGCACTTTATAGCCACAATGACTGATTTCTCGAACAACCGCATTCATGAACTTCTGCGATGGCAGGTGTAATATCTTATCCACAATGATCATCTTTCAGGCCACACAAGGGCACACACTGACCCTTCATGTGGCACTTCCTGCACCTGACCAAATGCACTTGCATGATCCAACGTATCAATGAATGGTGAAGGTTCATCATGCGTACAAAAACCACGATTTCCACGAGACGATTGTTACACATACAATATTGTCAACTGCAAATACGCCAGCGGTCAATACTGTCTCCAACTTGCATGATGGAGCCTTGGCATGATATTTGATCAGTGTTGTGTTTCAGGAAACTCAACTTTGAAGTCTACTGACAAAGACTGCAATTTGATGATAGCTGCACATACTTACACATCTCTCACGACTAGCAAGCAGCCTCGTCGTCACAGACTAAGCCTTCATTCAGCACGGTCTCTCTTCACCTTTCTCAACGTCACAAATGCACATGTTCACATTCTTACATATCTAGCGTAAATTTCACCTTTCGACTTGGCCCTATATGCACATTATGTAGACCCTTCCCTCCGCTGATCGTCTTTCGCGTTGTCGGTGTCTCATATACCGTAGAACACAAAGGCTCCAGAAACTCGTCTTCGCTGTCGCTCATGCTATAAATGTCGTCTAATCGCTTCGACGTAACCTGATTAAGTTTGTGCATCAAAGGATGAACGGACAACTCTTGAACAAGGATAACTCCGTGATTGGCAGAATTACCCAGCTCAGAGTTTGTAATTGGTAAGCTAGGCCCGCCATTTTCAGTCGTTCTGGATCCTGACGAAGCCTCACTAATAATTGAGGGACTTATCTTGAGTGTTGGCGCAATCGTCTCTGTAGGGCCATAATATCGAGAAGACGGAACCGGAATTCGATCCATGACCAACCGTCCACCACGACCAATACGCCCTCGGCATCGATATTTGGGTGGCTGCTGGAAGATCGCCGCCATCAACTGAGGTGGTGACAGGGGGTACGACGGGTACACCGGGCCGTCTAAATTCCCGTCCGTATCTGTTGAGTCCTCCATCACAAAGTTAGCTGATGTGTCGTATTCCATAAAGGTTGGTGCGATTTGCGGCCCTTCGACCGCAGCAGCTGCCGCCCTAGCGTCTGATTCATTCTTTAAATCTCCTGATACTAAGATACCGCCATTCCCCGAGCTGTCACTCTCACCATTGCGATATCGTTTCATTTTCTTCTTTTTCTTCTTCTGATGCTCACGTTCTCCATCTGTTGGGATCACTGGCTTGCGCACCACCGCATTTGGTCCACGATGCGTGAGCTCATGTTCCGCTTGGCGTCGGATCTCATCCAAGAAATCGAGCTGTAATCGTTTTGCTCGTTCTCGACGCTGTACTAAATTCAACACACGTCGCACACGCTCAAAGTCTACACGCAGTTGTTGAAGCTTGCGAAATCCTTCCAGATCGTTTTTACGATGCTTACGAAGTTTATAGCGTTCTTTTTCTCGCGGTCGAAACACAGAATGTGGGTTCGTATCGTTCAGTGGCGTCTTTGGCCAAAATCGCCGCAATAGAGGTCGACGTAACTTTTGACGCTTAGCTGCCCAGTACGCGTACACATCACAAGTGGCTCGATTAATTGGCGTTCGATGCATGTTCAGTCTTCTTGCAAAAACATCCTCCGCCTCAGCCAGTGTCATAACATTTGGATTCAGCAATGCCGATGCTTTCTCTAGTGCATCGAGCATTTGACCAAAACGTTCCTTTGATATTTGATAGCGTGGATCACCGTCTACGCCGTATTTTGGGTGACAACGTAGCCATTTCATGTCTTCCAGGTCTAAATCGACTTCAACAACCTGTGACTCAGGACTTGATGCTTCTAATCCAGTTGAATCCTCATCTCGTGGAAGTGCTTGGAATCTCACGTAAGATGTTGGTACTTGAAAGTCTGCAGATACTGAAGTATCATAGGATGATACTGAAGAGATTAAAGGGATTGGAATGTCCTTCTTCTTACGTTTTGACTGAATTCCAGCTTTCTGACGCGCTTCTAAATTCTGTATACATATGTATACTTGATTAATTTCTAAAAGAAATAAGTATACCAACCACAAAATAGAAATGGGCAGGTAGCAGATATTTCTTTTTTTCTTCTTACCGCTACGAGCTGTTGAAATGTTGCATGAGGATGGGAAGAACCAGCTGTACTATCATCATCTGCTTCGAGGTCTTCCTCTTTCCGTATAATGCTCATTCGCGCATGCACGTCGATCTGCCGCGGTCGCAGACTAGAACGCCTCATATTTGTTTAGTAGCGGTTTTTCAGTCAAAAAGGGAGCGTTTTCGATGGATGGTACACTGTACCAACAGTCATTTAGAAATATTTTTAAACGTGTCATAAAAGCGAATATTTGCCTCAGGGTGCAAATAGAACAAGACGCTCTTTTCTACAAATTTTACGTTTTGCTCACGACCACATGTAACCCAAATGTTTTTACTTGAGAAACTCTAACCCATATCTATTTGTATTGATCATACGATCGTAACTAGGGAGGGCCTTCACTTTGACAATGAAACGTATTTGATGGCCTCGGTCGACGTATGATGATATGATAAATCCATTCTTACTTGACTACGCAATGACGTCAAATAATGCTGAGACTAGTTTTGCGTCAAAGCAAGTCACTGCGAATAGCACGATTACGCAGACTACACATCATCTATATGCTAGACCCATTCTTTGCCATTCTTCATTGTATATCGACGGTACTTTGTTCTTGAATGAGTTGATAACACTTGCACTATCCACTCAAAATCTTGGTATTTCTATAACAAGATTCAGTTCGGAATCGCATAGAAGTTGCGTTCACTATTGTCAGAGCCCGTCACTATTGACCCCATGGAATGCCTGACACTCACTTATCGATACCAAAGCTCGACGTTTCTATAATGCTTGCATCAATTCCTGACATTTCGGTGAACTTTTGCGGCGGTCGAGCTTGTAAGATTGACTCGTCTTCGACCGTGTCTTTCACTTAACAAAAGATAAAAGACTCACATTGCAGAATTGTTGCGATGGACGAAGAAGAGTGCGGACCATGCAACAGCGACAAAACAAATCGAATTCCTTTTCTTGAAAAATAGATCACGAAACCAAGGTCATGCACACGGCCGGACCCATAAGACGGTAAGCAGCAACAGATGTGAAGTGAAAGAAAAGGCACGTCAACACTTTTCAAATTTTTCTGGTTTGCCTGCTCTAGGCTTTGAGATTGGTAATGTCGCAACGTGTGTTCAGTGTACGACGTTGACTTTGATTCCCTACAAACCCCAAAAACAAGCTTCAAAAAGTTGATACAACGTATGATGAGTCGAAAACCCGGACTGCGTTTGCTTGCGTGAGTTACTTGTATAGATTTGAAATTGCTTGGCCCATACGATGCTTGCTCGTAGTCTTGACCATAAGCATCATGTGGATTAAAAGCAATTTCGAATCAACTTCTCTACCGACCTCTACCCAGCAGAGCACAATTACTAAGCGCTTAGCTCGAAATTCGATACATTTGTCACGAAAGTGCGACAGAGATCTTTTGTTGTAAAACTGACAACATGTCACTTGTACTGCTGTGCACAAGTACTGGCGGTTCAGCTCAAAGTTGCACTGCAAGCTACCGTTTGATGGCCTGTTCTCATTTCAGTCCGGTGCGTGCGTTTAGTGCTATGACAGCTCTACTGTACCCTCTTGATCTCTCCCGTATTGACATACTAAATGTAAAATGTAGACAATGACGAAGGAAGGGTGGACGTAGTACCGCACTATCATTGCACGATGGACCTACCGGCGTCTTTTTGTATGTTGTAAAGTAAACACAAGCAAATCGCAGCTGTTTTTTCCAAGTGCTCTACACTAGTGATGGGCTTCAACAAAACCATCTATGAGTATATTCCGACAATACTGGACATGATAGCGTAGAGATGGTTACACAACGTAGCACAGATGCATCAATTCTAGTGGTGTTACCTCTCAGATAACAATGACTCACTCTCGACTAATGTCAGCAGCCTTAGACCGTTGAGCAGCATTTTGTCAGTTAATAGCGTTGATTATGCCTAGCAGTTGTAGGGGTAGCCACGGCTTTTTCTGTCAGTGCTACTACATTTACTAGCAACTGCGTATGTGTATGAAGACGCCTACACTTGATTATTGATACGTGGTACAGAAGTCTCAGATGCCTCATCCAAGTCGTTTTTTTCACATGTCGATGGAAAATACCAACCATTTGGTGCACGACAGAGCCCAAAAAGCTGGTAAGCTGAATGAATTTGTGACCTATTTCTCATAAAATTGAACCCCTCGAGAAAGAAAAACGAAATTAATGTTTATCAAAAATGAGCAGAAAAATCCCTTTCCCTTAAAATGGTCATTCTGTCTTGTCTTTGTAAGTAATACTCAACGTAAGTAGCAAAAAGTTCAGCCACAACCCACATGCACGACCAAATGAGAGTTTGTGGCTCCAGCTGGCTTAATAGCCACTTTTAGTAGTAGCATTGTGCATCGTTCATTCAATAGGTCAAACACGTCTCTTTTTGGAGACGCTAGCTGTAAAAGTAGAAATGGATAATTTGCGTGACCATAACGTACGACCGTCAATGCTCGAGCGAGTGTCATCAACTCACCATTCACGTTTTCCTTTAGCTGCTACATACTTTGAAACAGTCACATGCTCAGCTGATCAGCATGTATTTCTTAAGGAGCAGGCCGATGAATTGGCTACAGAGGTCATACAAAAGGCAAAATGGTCGATGAGCTATGAGGATGGTACAAACGGATGGAAGCTTTTGAATTCGCAGCGACACTTTCGAGAGACTGGAATTCGTACGTATAATAAACGATGCGACGGGCGTGATCGCAACGGTCATCGCCAACTTGAGTTTCGCTGTATGGGTAAAGTTCAGATGCCAGTTGAACACTGCCTTAGTGCGCTTTACTCGGACAATACGACGGACTTCCGGAGCAACTCGACGTTTCTCGTTGAGGACGCGTTAGATGCCGTTGTACTAAATGCTCTGGAGACGAAGACGGAAGAGCAGCCGCATCATTATCTTGGTCTCAATTGGATGGCAATTCGCTCACCGGGTCTTTTTTCCAAAAACCGAGACTTGTGCTATCTTCGAAGTATGGGCACAACCTTGGATAGCAACAATACGATGGTCGGGTACTTAGTCATTCTGTCCGTCGATATGAAGGAGTGTCCGTCGCTGGAAAATGCGCTTGGTCTCATCCGTTGCAACATTTCATCCGTGCTGTTATTTAAAAAGAACAAGGGTTCACGCTTCACTAATGTCTTGTGGCAAGGATCGATCGGATCAAGTGGACACTCGTCTAGCAAGCTAGCAAATTTTGTGCACGAGACTTTTACGTCTGTTGTTTTAAATGTGAAGAAGGTTCAAGAAGCCAAGTACATGGCGCAGCAAGTGGAAGGTTATAAGTTCCAGCGGATGATTGCCGGGTACGCGAATATGTTGTATTACTGCGACTTGACATGGTACATATCTATATTGCTACAGAAGATGCTGATAAGTTGTGATGTTTATGAACAGTGGACGAAAGCAGTGCCACGTTTGCAGCAAGAAATTTTCGCTCGTACGGACTCGCTTTCAATGCAGCGCATGTGGCGAAAATATGTGCAAGGATTGCGAAGTATCCAGTCGAGCAAAAGCGTATAATAGCAAAAGCTTTGACGTACCGGCGCCGACCTCTAGTCGTCCGGAAATCGTGTTATTTTGTAAGAAATGCGTGACCATTGCTCGTCGTGACATGAATAATCAGTTCGATCGAGAAAGCACGCAAGCAAACCCGTCATTTTTTATTTTCGACAACAATGTGCGCTCGGCTTTGACAGACGACAGAGATCATCGCCTCTCAAATGCTGGTAAAGCTTTAAATCAGAGCAGTAGTACAAGTAATAGTTCATTGCAGAAGCTAGTGACCAACTCAAGTACAGGATTTGCTACCTGGACCGATAGTACACCACTCTTTGTTGGGACAGCGATTCACATGTCCCGTACTGGTGAAGTGCCTATGAGTCCTCTATCCATCCGAACGAAGAGTGAAAAGCGACGCAATCGATTGGAAACAGACCCTATGGAGTACTATGACGGCTTTGATAACGATGAGTACGGTGTTCCATTGGACATGGACGAGTACGACCCACATGAACCAATGAGGGAGAGTTGCAGCAGTTTCAGCAGCTACAAATTCACGTCATCGGACCGACGAGGGTCTCAAGAATCTCGCGATAACGATATGGCGAGCAGGTTACGGGAGATCTCACAGCGAGCTCAAGAGGCCTTGGATGTGACAAAGCGCAACTCTTGCATGATGAGTGACACGAGCAGCGCGCCACGAGTGTCGGACCTGTCGGCATTCAAGGAGCTGGATAAGTCCATAGCTGAGCAAGCGGATTTACTTAACGTTATTGGTTTTGTAAGTACTGGTCGTATGTATATGGAGAATAATGGCCCTGAACAGGGTGGTGTACGTGTGAGTGAGTCACTTGAACAATGCCATGAGGACGATCGGTTTGAAGTAACAGCCTAGTTAGGTATGCAAATAAAACTCCATACGTTTTTTACAACGAGAAAAGTATCTTTTACTCGTTTTATTGCTTAGGTATCCTTTAATATTTTAAATACCGTTTATGTTTGCGTAAAGTATTTTGTGCCTGTGTTTAAAATACCAAGTTACCAAATATATATTTCTGGTAACTTGGTATATTTTGCAAAATATATTTCCATTTTCGGTCACAAGCAATTTTGATCATGACTGGACACGGTGACAAGTTCTCGACTTCAGTGATACTGGGCCTACTGACCGCTACCATGACAATCATTACCGCAGGTAGCGTCGGTCTTGTGGGTTTCATGCTAGGGCGTCAGCTGCCGAATCAAGTAATGGACAAGAGCAAACCTAGCAGCAAGCAGCATCAGCAGCCGGACGAGTCCGCGTTAAACGAACTTAAACGTCGCCGCTTGTGCATTCCTAATGGTACAGCGAGCGAAGACTTGAAGATTACGGATAAGAAGGCAATCATGGACGTGCGCATTTCTGATATCCGACCGCTCATTCCGCCGGCGATTCTGCTCGAAGAGATTCCGCTTACGACGAAGATTGTACAGACTGTGAGTAAAATGTCAATCACTTGGAATATCAATGAGTACTGAAGCAACGCACTACAAATGGCTAAAGATTGTTGTGCTGGATGTGATTACATGTAGATCACTCATGGACGTCAGGATTTGGCCAATATTCTACGTCGTCTGGACGACCGTCTTGTGGTGGTCGTGGGGCCTTGCTCCATTCACGACACGGACGCCGCTATGGATTACGGTAATACGAGCTGGTATTGGATATGGGGACGGTGATGGTGAAGGTTTGACATGCTGTTATGTTGTCAATTACAGCGGAGCGTCTGATGGAAATTAAGAAGGAGCTAAACAAGGATTTGCTTATCGTCATGCGCGTTTACTTCGAGAAGCCCCGCACGACCGTTGGGTGGAAAGGTCTAATCAATGATCCGGACCTTGATGGATCATTTAACATTAACAAGGGACTACGTGTAGCACGCGAGCTGCTGGCTGCTATCAACGAGCTCGGACTACAGGTGGGTTAATTGGTTCATTTGCAACGTTAACTGCGAATGCTTAACAATTACGGACTGTGCCTGATACGATTTGTCATAGGCTGGCTGCGAATTCCTTGATACCATGTCGCCGCAGTTCATCTCGGACCTGGTCAGCTGGGGTGCCATTGGTGCCCGCACAACCGAGTGCCAGCTGCACCGTGAGCTCTGCTCGGGTCTTTCCATGCCCATCGGCTTCAAGAACGGCACAGGCGGTGATCTGCAGCTAGCTGTTGACGCCGTCGTAGCGGCTAAGCACCCACACTGCTTCCTCAGCGTGAGCTCGCAAGGTTTGGCTGCTATTGTCAACACCTCAGGCAACGACATGTGCCACTTGATTCTTCGTGGCGGTAAATCAGGTCCCAACTTTGAGAAGGAACATATCGATGATGCGTCTGCTCGCATGCTTAAATCGAACTTGATGGACAATATTATGGTAGACTGCTCACACGGCAACTCGCAGAAGAAGCACAAGAATCAGGTTGTGGTGGCTGCTAACATCGCCGACCAGCTACGCGCCGGTGACAACCGCATTGTTGGCGTAATGCTCGAGTCTAACATTGAGGAGGGAAACCAGCCTTTGACTATGGGCAAGCCGCTCATATACGGCAAGAGTGTGACTGATGCATGTATGGGATGGGAGACCACCGTCGAAGTATTGCGCGATCTGGCTGCTGCTGTGCGCGAGCGTCGGGCGAAGAATGATCAGTAGAGGCTACTGTCCGACCAAGACAAGGTCTCTAGTGACCTCTTTTTGGTTAGTTCCTGTGGCGATCACGCTTGATTTTTGCTGATCTTTATCGTGAGTAGCACATTTGCAATGGATTTGCAAATGCCGCAGACTTCTCCTTGCGACTTGGTACCACCTTGCGTTGTCAAGTTTTGTTTCTTTACTTGCTGCAGCACGTAGTGATAGTAGTAACATTAACGCTTAATTATCAGCAGCTTTATTTGCATTTTGCCTATGGATCATTTCAATTGTCACAAAAAGTATTTAAAGTCTTGGTAACAGTTTGTTGACATAACGAAATCCACTCAGAATAGGACGTTCGTTTGAATAAACGTTTTAAATGCATTTGACTTTTGAGGTTTAAAATACGATTCAAATGCTTTTTAGCAATTTTAACTCTGAATTTCTCGGTGAGCTGAAATACTTGATGTGAGCAAGTCCAAATTTGAATTTGTCGTCAGCTTTTTGGGCTCAAATACTTTCGATTGCTTTTTATCGTTATTTTCAGGGACATAAATATCTGAATAACTGCATTATAAAATAATGCCGCAAAAACCGATTAAGGACGAGGACGTGGATATCGAGCCGGATCAATTCTTAGCCGATCTACCGCCTTCCGGTCGCTCGGAAGAATCAGGTATCTCTGCTTCTAGCTCTAGTCTACAACCCATACCATTAGCGTTTTCTTCGATCTCATCTGAGCCTCAGGAACGCCGCGCCCAAGTGGGGGGCCAGTCCGTATGTGGCTCCGTTTACACCTAGTGGATCTCCGCCTCGTCCGAAGACACCATCGGCTTCTGGAGGACGCTGTAATAACAACAATCGAGCTGTCAAGCCTCAACTTGTGCCTTTTAATAAAGCCGTTGCTGCCTTTGGACCAGGTCCAGCCTTGCCCCGAGACGATGTGGTGAAGCATCTGCCGCCAAAGCTGGTGGAGACGCTGGTGGACGTCGTGAGGACACTCGATAAAATTGCAGACAGTGTGGCAGGCTTTCGACCAGACCAGCTAGGCTTCCTCAGCGACAACGTCACGCGATATGTGGAGCTATTGCAACAGACGGACCAGGCGGCGGCCGAGTACCACGCAGACATTCCATTGCAAGTACTGCAGTACGTGTATTCGGGAGGAGTTGATGCAAGCTGATGCTTTCTGTAGCTGTTCCAGTGCTTTGACATAATGTTGCTTTGTTATTATTGTCTTGTAGGATGATGGATGCTGAAGAAGACTCGAACCCCGAGTTGTTTACTAAGATGCAGCTGGAAAAGTGCCACGAGGAGAGCCAACAAGCAGCTGTAAAGACCGAGACATTGGAGATGCTGAGAGAAGCTTTAATGACTGGACTGGAGGAGCTCGAGTGACGAGAAAGGATAAAAGTATGATGAAATTAATACAAATTGAAGTTTTTAGAGAGCTTCAAGTGACAATGCATGGCGAATCATTCCGTCACGCACGATCATCGATGTTTATCAACTGCGTAGTGGTGCAGTTGTTTCGTTGTACATTTGTAAGCACGAAAGTTTGGGTTTGAAATGTAGACAACCGCATTAAAAGGATCAAAGGCAAGTGAACAGGAGCGTATTATGAGATATCTTCTTTTTGTTATCATATTTAACAGCTTTGAAGACAGAGAAACACTTTATAGAAAAAGTCAAAAATGTACGTGCCAGTGATATTGGTGGCAATTACAATATAACAAGTCAATAACAATAATTCCCAAATATATTTTTTTCGTTAGCGCACGTAAGAACCAAGACGTGACAAGAACACAAAACCTTATTGCCGATCAAGGTAGAAAACGTTGCAATGGCTAACGATGGCGAGTACATACTGTTTCTCGAAACCGAGTTGATTTGATGTGAAATCAAGCATATATGTTCTTGGACAACTATCATGCAAATTCATGCAAATCAAACTGAGTAAGTTGTCCGCCTTCGTCATGGAAAACGCGAGCCACCTGTGCCACATTCATTAATACTTCAACAGTGCAATGTTGTAGCTCAGCCACATATCTTACCTCTTGAGCCAATGATTCGCGTGCTGGGTTATCCAGTGCTAGCTTTTCCTGGCTGATTCAATTGTAATTCCAATCCACATTGTAAGTATCCAGCCACTAACACTAGTGTTACAAAAATATACCTGGCCTGAGCAAGTTTATGCGCTCGTTCGATGGCGGATTTCAATTGCAGCAAAAGACCAGTGGCAGCTTGAAATCCACTACCCGATTCGGTCAACTGATTCATGTCACAACAGAACACAAACGCTTGATATCAATAAGCAAGTACTTTTCTTCCTATCATGAATACAAACCTGCAATGTCTTGTGTTTTTCACTCCAGTCTTTCACGTGTGCGAGGAAAAGCTCTTGGTCGAGCTGTTCGCGATATTGCAATTTTAGTGCACTGGAACAAACAACGAAGGTATCCTGCAAAGTATGGGCAAGAGTAAACACCTAGTAGATTTTTCCCACATAATACCCCTACGCACCTTACGAGCCGCTTGCTCAAATAGTGAAAGACGAGCTAAGAACCGAGTCGTATCCTGAAGCACACTTTACTCACAATTGTTTCAGAATGTCATGAGCTGCAAACGCAATATCTTCAGCCTATACCTGCGGAATGTTGCCACGCCACTTTCCAACTTTGCGGCAGTTTGCACAAAGGTGGTGATGTCTTCACTTTCTACTTTAGAAAACGGCGATCCGGTGGACTGCACACGGGCATTGCTAAATAGCACAAGACAAACACAGTTCGTCAAAGCCGCAACAGATATACAACAAATTAACTCCTTTCGTACGCAGTGGCGATGGTTCTACAGATTTCAAAGTGTGGTTGTAGCATCGTTGACATGGACGTCTCAATCGTCTGGATGTCGCAGCGAAGTTGCTTCGCAAGCTGCAAGTGCTCGTCTATATTTCACCCATCCACAAATCCTCGTCATACAACGTTATCCACCGGTAAAAAGCAATACATCTCACCTTCCAGTGTCGATTGAAACTCGGCCGTGCAGTGCTCAATGGCATCTTGATAGTGCTGAACTCGTCTCGAATGCGAGTTCCGCAGCACTTGTCCTACTTGATCCAGAAACTTTGCCAAATACTGCAATACACCACGACTGTATGTAAGAGCTTACAGTCAAAAAAATCAATTGCTAATCGATTGGCACTGACGTCTCTTTTCTCCGTTAATTGAGCACAAGTCGCTGCGTCTCGAGTTGCCGCCTCAGCTAGAGCGTTTGTGCTGTCTGCCAGTGTCCTAACGGCCTGATCCAAGTGAAGCTGCGATCCAAGATCTTGCAACATTTGTACAAAATCGTTCAATGCAGCTACGAGAGTCGCCAGCTCCCGTTCGCCCAAGAATGACGGAACGAGCGTCACGAGACCTTCCAGGCGACGAGAAACGCGCTCCAAGGGAATTGTGGACGAGGCCGACGCGGTCTTGATAGCACGATTGACGATATATAGATCGTGTATGATATGTTGCATGCAGAGAATGACGTCGGTCAAGGCGAAGCGATGTCTGTGCATCAACAACTGCTCAAAGTCGTGCAGCATTGAATGATGATGAGATGTAATTACTATTGTAATTATTTTCAGAATGATTGATGATAATTCAAATATACTTGCAATTATTGTATTGTCATGCAGCCGTAACTATTGTATTGTCATGCCCACTATTTAATGTCAGGAACAACCAATTCGTCAGCTCTAGTTTCTCTCTCTACTATCAGCGAAAACAATACTGGTCCATAACCTAATAACGGAACACTTAAAGCTGCAATTCCTCAAATTACTCAAGCTGCTGGTGTGCGTAACAATGGATCAGCATGTTTCATTCCATAGCTTTGAACTGGTGCACGTGTTGTTGGCAGATTACTGAAAGCAGGTTTGTGTTGTAGCCACTCTGGGTGCAACGAGATAGAGACACGACTGTTAGTGGTCACTTGTTATCGTGACTAGTGCAACGTTGGTACCATCAGTGCCGCTGGGGCCATCATTAAAAAGGATGTATCCATGCATTTTCTGCAATACCTGCTGTCTGAGACGTTCACCTAATGGAAGATAAACGTCTCTGCCGCTACATTCACCCCATAATAATTCGACGTGGTATTTTTCAAACGGAAGAGAGCATATAGCCACTTCAACGTGTTCTAGGGGAGTGCATGTAATGAAAATGGATGTCTGTTGCGCAGGCAAGCAAGCATGCAGCTCATTTGACAGGCACAAGCACGCATCATGTTTGTCGCACGCCAGCTGATGGAATCATAGCTTGGACCAAAGAACGGACCCAAGGCGGCTTCTGTAGCAGCTTGTGATGCTCATTTTCCATTCTCATTCTCACTGAAAAAGCGCTGCTACACTCATCTTGCAGCCCTTCATTTACTATGACGAAGGTGTCAAAGTTCGTGCGCAAACTCTTTCGTAAAGACGACGAAGGACTGCAACTTCGACTACGAAAATCCGTGACCTTACGCAAATGTCGACAAGTGGCGGCGCTGCTGGAGGCAGGTGCGTCGCCGGTTTGGATAGCGGACGAGCCACACATTAGTCGAAGATCTCGGCGGCGGGACTGGGCTCCATCTCAACTCAATGCACTGTTGCTTGCCTGTCGCTACGGTGACGTAGAAATACTCACCCTTTTGCTGAACGCATTGTCCGAAGAGCCCCAAGTGGTCGCACACTTTAGTCGCGCAATGTACTGCCTTGTTATACGTCATGACCACTGGAGAGCTTTTCAGCTACTCCAACAACGTCGAATGCCTCTGGGCTCGGTGTCTTCTAGATCGTCAACCGATTCGACTGGTTCTGAAAAATCTATAGCGTCCACTCAGCCTCTGTTTGCTGCTGCGATGGAGCATTTCAGTTCCAAGTTGCCGATGCCCATTTTCGTGGCTGCAGAGCACGGTCGTCATCAGATCCTTAGTTGCCTGCTGGACCACTATCCGCATAACTGGGCCCACTACACGTTTGAAGGACAGTCGCTGCTGTCGGTGGCAACCATCAATGGGCATTTTGAGTGCGTCAAAGTACTGTTGGAGCGAGACGTGGTTACTAGCAAAGGGGTAGACGCTGCTGTCGCTACAGCTCGTCGCCATCGCCAAGCTCACGTCTTGGTACTGCTGACAAGTTATCTTCCGGAGTTTGAGTTCGACCCGGAGCCTGTTTACAAATATGAGGGAGAATCACTACCAAGCAACGATATTAACGATATGTTGTGCCAAAAGTTACAGTGGTCCAGTCAAACCACACGAGTTCGAGACCGTGGCTCGATTGCAGAGACCGTGGCAAGTGAATGTGATGATGAAAACAGACGCAGCAGTCTCCTGAGTATTGGCTCGCCTATCAACTACAACGAGGACATGAATCGAGCAGAAGAAATGCGCATTCGAGCTGAGATGGAGCGCGAGCAGCGTCAGATTGGTATGATGTGGTTCCTGGATGGTCGTGAGCCGCCTACATCTGCGCGTGATATTGCGCCTAACTCCAACAACAGCTACTTGAATTCAAACCAGGAAAATGACGCATGGTATGCAGTCAAGTCAGGTGATAAGAACCGACAGCAACAAGATGATCTACTGGCAAGTGACGAAGAAGAATTGAAGCACTCCTACGATTTAATGTTTTCAGTATACGAAACTGAAGAAAACAGTAAATTCGAGGAACTACCTTTAATATTCGAAGAAACCCACAAGCCTATTGCAGCACCTCGGTCGTCATCGATAATTAGATCTAGCAGGTCCTATAAGCTAATAAGTGTCCGTAGCCGCGGGTTCCAACATAAAGTGTTAACAGCTATCGAAGAACATCCTGCGGGAGAGACAGAAGCATAGATCTACGTATAAATTTTAACTCAAATATAGGCCATTGGACAATGCATGCCGACATACATTTCTCTAACTGCTGGACAATCCATATTAGCTGATGAATAGAAGTCGTGTTGCTACTTCAGAGCTGTTTGCACGTAATCATGCATCTTGATTCGTCTCAGCAGATGTAACCATGACTAGGGTTACACAAAGGTGTGCACATTTGCCACACCATTTTGGTGTGGCTATACTTTGGATACATTGGGTTCACACACGCTTTGGTGTGAACGTACCTAAAGTATAATAAGTTTACACCGTTAGCATAGATGTATATAAGGAAGGCTACTGAACTACTAAGTATAGAATAGGTGTTTTAAACTGTTTTAATGCTAAAAAAATTAAAGATTAAATCAAAATCAGTTCGTTTGGCTAGGCTTACAGTCAGGTATACAAATTCAAAGCTTGCTATACCTTTTTTAAAACTTAGAAAAACCCACTCCTGTTATAATTTTGGTTATATGACGTCCTTCAGCCATGTTAAAACACAGCTCGACTTTTTATACATAAAACTCAGTGCCGCTCTATGAGGCTCACGGCCCACCGCTTAAACGACGGCTCAATGAGTCTCCGTTTTTGCATCATTCGAGTAAGTGACGGTTAAAAGTGCTTCAAGCTTTATTTATTCACGCGTAGGATCAACGCCTCTAGAAGTGAATCAAGCTGGAGATTCCTTTTACACAAAAACGCAGCTTCTGGAGGTGTGTCATGATTTGGTTCGTATCGTGGAAGCGACAGCTGGAGGGATTTTGGGCTATGGCTCTTAATGCATGAGAGCAACGAATGAAGCTATTTGAGCCTTGGTGTCTATTTGTCCTAATGATCGCGGCCCCTTCTTCAATCTTACAAATGTGGTAGAGTGGGTTCTCAAAACGGTGTGATGAGACCCCAATCACTCACTGTGCCGGACTGCCGACTGTCGGAGGGTACCCGATGCCGCGTATGGATTTCCTCTCACCTTGTGTACCCGTCGGCTGGCGGGTTGCACTCTTCGGAAGACTCGGTGAGGACGTAGATGTCGGCCTTGAAGGAGGTCGACCTTGGGGTGCCTCGAGTGGATATACTTTACTCGGTAGGCTAGTAGGTGGCCACTCGGTCGACTAGGTCGAGGGTCGACTTATAACCAAATTCTTCAGGGGAGATTCTCAACCCTGGCTTTTCCTTGATATCTCAGGAGTATTATCCACCTAGTTTTTACTTGCTCCCGAACCGCTAGGGTAGGGATACCGCTTCCGATAGCGGGTCGATTGAGGCATACTTACCTTGCTATCTTCATGCACTATCAGATATTGGTTCGTATTCTCGCATTTTATTTGCTCCCGGCGCATCACATCATTCATTGCGTCGATGATTCGTACCATCACATCATACTTTGGAGGAACACTACCCAAGAGAATCACCACTTTTTCATCATCTCCAATCATCTCACAAACAGGAGTGAGCTTCAAACACAGCTCGTCAAAGCGCATGAGATGATCCATCAAGTTCCCTCCTTCTGTGAGATTCAACTTGCTCAACTGTCTTCGAAGCTGTACCTTGTATTAAAGGTTCTGCTTCATGAAAAATGACCGAAGGATTTCCTACGCATCATAAGCCAACTGTGCCGTTCGTACCATAGTCTGATATGTGGGAAATAACACTTCACAATGATATTCAGGTCTTTATATCGTCGTCTTTCCATGTGCTTGACTGCTGCATGGTATCTGGCTTTTCAACACATGCCCAAGAGCTCCCTTCCAAGTAAGTGGTGAGTACCCAGAAAAAAATTATTTGCATCGGTGAGAATGTCACCTGAAGTACTGAGCTTGGTCTCATAACCTTTAACATTTTGGGACACGCGCTTGTCTTTGCAGCAAAAAGTGGAAAGTGAATTATTGCTATAGTTTTTTTTGTCTGTCTACTCATTTATATGTTCTGTGAGCATGTACATGCATACCAGCTTCTAGAAAGGAGTTCTAGAAGCTTCCCTAACTGCAAAATGTTTTGTGTCTCAACCATCCATCGTTGTACTGCCGTCAGACAGTTAAACGCATTGTCCAAAACCGCATATTTCGAATTAGGGTCAGAAAATGTCGTGCGCAGAGATATCCCCGTCGCGAGTGGAAGCTTTGGATAAGCTCCATTCGTGGCCCTCTCAAGGAGTCCTGCATGTAGAATGTTGATTGGAATCAGAGCGCAGACCAGTTGGCCAGCACGGCTCAATACCAGGGGAAGTAAGTTGAGTGGAAACCAAAGAGAGAGTGGTCATGGTTAGAAGCGATCATTCGGTTGCCAGAGTTTCTAGTCCCCAAAGACCAAGTCCATCGGTCAAGTGACCCTATCACGGTCCCCCATTTAAAATATCTGGGGCATTATTCAAGAAGACGTGATACAACGACTACGGGTGGGCAGAATCCTAGAAGCACCAGAGGAAGAAGAATGAATGCGAAATTTGAATTTATACTTGTAAGGAGACTGGGTCGACATGTGTGTGTAACCTGCTTGATCGTGTAGTAACATTATTAGGGGTTTATAAGACAAGTGAAGAGAAGCTACTAGCTTACTGCCCCAGACAGAGGATCGAGGGAGATGGCCGAGATATGACATCCAGATTGGTGATAGTCATGTCTCTAAACCATTATTCTTCACAATTATCACACCAGTTTGGAAGGTGGTCAAAAGGGGTCGGACGTACCTACCATCAATTCGGTGGTACTGCCATTAGAGGGGCCCATTACAAACAGTACATAGATATGCGTGTACTTGTGTAAATTGTGAGACCGGGAAAGGAGGACCTACCCTACAAGGGAAGACTCCGGGACATGTTGGGCAGAAGATGTAAGCCAAGGGTGGGCTATCATGACGGAGCTAGGCCTCACCCAAGAGTATGAAGCTAGAAGATATACAGATTCATGACCCCGACAAGAACACCCCAGAAAATGTGGACCGACTGAGACAATTTATATGGAGAAGACGACATCTGATGATGGGGAAGGGTAATGCCTTACCACCGTCCGCTCGAGGAGCTATCTGGGACATTGATGTGGGTAAGGCAAGGCCGATTGCACAACGTGTACGGAAGGTGGCCCCTCGGTCTAAAGAAAGTTGGCAGATGCGATTAAGGAATTATTATCCGCGAAGATCATCCAGCCCTCTACCTTGTCATGGGTTCAATCGTGATTATCGTGAAGAAAATAGGGTGGATATCAAGCTGTATATTGATTATCGGTTGTTAAACGACTTGACCCAGCTTATGATCTATCTTATGCCTCTAATCAACGAATTGTTGAAAGACCTGAACGAAGTATTGTGGTACGGCTCCCTGAATATAACAAGTTAGTTTTGGGTCGTCGGCATGACCGAAAGAAAAAGAGACGGAACTCAGCCTTTGTAACCTCACCGGTGCAAACAAGAGCTAAAGTCGCGTTCTGGTCACGGTTACATCTATTGCCTCGACTGGTTGAAGTGCATATTACAGTACATCACAGTTGTGGAGTTGCTCTCAAAGTTCCAGTGACGTGAAGCTGACAAAGGTTGACATCAAAGAAGGTTCCGTTGCCGGACTTGAACCCGTGCGAAGAGAATCAATCATCAACACTTGGTACAACGAGCGGTCTGGCAGACACAACAGTGCGTCATAACAGTCTACCACAACAGTCCGTCTCACCATGCAAAATCATTGGAACACGTACTTGTTCTCGCGCATAAGCGGATATGAACGAGCCATCGACAGATGAAAGAAGGAATTGGCCAATGTGGGATTCGAACCCACGCCCTTTCGGACCAGTGCCTAAAACTGGCGCCTTAGACCGCTCGGCCAATTGACCACCACACATGATCACAACCCCCCACCTACACGCAAAACGCAACACAAATCAGACCACACCACAATATCAAATATACGATCAACATACACAAACAGTACGCACACACAGCTACCCGTCTTGTTAATTTGCCTCTGCTATCATTTTTGTTTCTGCTTGCGGTGACAGAAGTCGGGCTGATTGACGGACTATTATTGCCAGTGCTCGCGACATCACAGAAACGTCCCGATGCTGTAATCAAAGATCACTGACCGCGATAAAGCTCTCACATAACAAACATTGAAGCATTGTCGGAGGCCAACGCACATAAGCGATTGCTCGGACGTGACGATAGCGTATTGACCTCCATTTTCTCAACTCGTTGCGATCGAGCGAGTTGGTGAGCTAAAGTCGCGTTGCTGGTCACGGTTACAATCTATTGCCTCGACTGGTTGAAGTGCATATTACAGTACATCACAGTTGTGGAGTTGCTCTCAAAGTTCCAGTGACGTGAAGCTGACAAAGGTTGACATCAAAGAAGGTTCCGTTGCCGGACTTGAACCCGTGCGAAGAGAATCAATCATCAACACTTGGTACAACGAGCGGTCTGGCAGACACAACAGTGCGTCATAACAGTCTACCACAACAGTCCGTCTCACCATGCAAAATCATTGGAACACGTACTTGTTCTCGCGCATAAGCGGATATGAACGAGCCATCGACAGATGAAAGAAGGAATTGGCCAATGTGGGATTCGAACCCACGCCCTTTCGGACCAGTGCCTAAAACTGGCGCCTTAGACCGCTCGGCCAATTGACCACCACACATGATCACAACCCCCACCTACACGCAAAACGCAACACAAATCAGACCACACCACAATATCAAATATACGATCAACATACACAAACAGTACGCACACACAGCTACCCGTCTTGTTAATTTGCCTCTGCTATCATTTTGTTTCTGCTTGCGGTGACAGAAGTCGGGCTGATTGACGGACTATTATTGCCAGTGCTCGCGACATCACAGAAACGTCCCGATGCTGTAATCAAAGATCACTGACCGCGATAAAGCTCTCACATAACAAACATTGAAGCATTGTCGGAGGCCAACGCACATAAGCGATTGCTCGGACGTGACGATAGCGTATTGACCTCCATTTTCTCAACTCGTTGCGATCGA